ACAACCACCTTTTGGCCCAATCTATAATCTATCGCAGACGGAGTTGCGGAAGTACATCGACGAGAATCTAGCCAAGAACTTCATCCGTCATTCAAAATCATCAGCTGGAGCATCCATCTTATTTGTGAAGAAGAAAGATGGCTCATTGCGGATGTGCGTAGACTATCGAGGCTTCAACAAGGTAACAAAGAAGAATCGTTATCCGTTATCCTTGATTTCTAGTCTCTTAGAACAACTTGGATATGCAAGGATTTTTACAAAAATTGATCCAATGGGAGCTTACAACCTCGTACGAATCAAGGAAGGAGATGAGTGGAAGACAGCGTTTTGTACAAGGTATGGCCATTTTGAGTATAATGTCATGCCTTTTGGTCTTACCAATGCTCCAGCGGTCTTTCAATATATGATGAATGATATTTTCTGAGAGTACCTTGACGATTTTGTTGTCATCTATTTAGATGATATTCTGATATTCTCCAAAAATGAGAAAGAGAATGAAAAGCACGTTCGTTTGGTCTTGGAGAAACTACGCAAGCAAGGACTATATGCTAAGTTGGAGAAGTGTTTATTTCATCAAATAGAGATGGAGTTTTTGGGGTTCATTGCGACTATGGAAGGCTTGAAGATGGACCCCAAGAAGGTGGAAGCAATCGTGTCCTGGGAGGTTCCGAAGACGGTGAGAGACGTACAATGCTTTCTTGGCTTTGCCAACTTCTATCGGATCTTCATCAAGAATTACTTTCAAGTTGTTGCTCCTCTCACTCGGTTGACATGCAAGGATAAGCTGGAATGGAGACCTCTAGCGGAGAAGGCGTTTCAAGACCTGAAGACCACATTTACTATGGCTCCAATCTTGGTACATCCAGACTTTACAAAGGCCTTTTATTTAAAAACTGATGCTTCGGATTTTACTTTGGAAGCTGTACTTTCACAAATGGGAGAAGACAAGAAGCTCCATCCAGTTGCATTCTATTCTCGAAAGTTCTCTGCTGCTGAAATCAATTATGAGATCCACGATAAGGAACTTCTTGCTATAGTGGATTCTTTCCAAGAATGGCATCATTTTCTTGAAAGAGCTGCACACCCAGTGACCGTATACACAGATCACAAGAATTTGGAGTATTTCATGTCGGCTCGAGTTCTAAATTGACGTCAAGCTCGGTGGAGTATGTTGCTATCTAGGTTCGATTTGGTTATCACTTATCGACCTGAAAAGCAGCAAGGACTATCTGATGCCTTATCGAGGAGATCATATCTTGTTCCAAAGGCTGGAGAAGTAGCGTTTGATCAACAATGTACGACATTGTTGAAGCCATAGCAATTTCGGCTTTGTGCTACTATTGTACCAATTGATGTTGACTTCTTGAATCAGGTACGTGCCGCGACCATTAAAGATTCAGTAGCCATTGATATCAAGCAGCGTGCCAATGACGACAAATTCAAGGTAGAGAGAGATCTTTTATACTTTGAGGAGCAGTTGCATATCCCAAAAGGACCAGCACGGCTCCGAGTTCTTCAATCTCGCCACGATTTTCCAGTTGCGAGACATTTTGGATTCAACAAGACCTTGGAGCTTATTTCTCGAGATTTTTGGTGGCCCCAAATGTGGAAGGATGTGAAAGATTTTGTCCTCTCCTGCGACATCTATTCAAGATCCAAGAATCCTCGGCATCGCCCTTATGGACTCCTACAGCCATTGCCGATTCCACGTTGATCATGGTCTTCAGTTTCTATGGACTTCATCATGGACCTTCCATCATCGAACTCATTTGACAGCATCTTTATCGTGGTAGATCGGCTTACAAAGATGGTGCACTTTGTTCCTTATAAGAAGACATCGTCCAGTGAAGTCACAGCAAGGCTCTTTCTCGATAATGTGTATCGATATCATGGACTACTAGATGATATCATATCAGATCGAGGAACCCAATTTGTATCAAAGTTTTGGAAATCTCTCTTTGAAATACTGAAGGTGGATATCAAACTTTCTTTGGCTTTTCATCCTCAAACTGACGGACAAACGGAACGGATGAACCAAGTCTTGGAACAATACTTACGATGCAGCATCAATTATCAGCAAGACGATTGGACCACATATCTGTCACTAGCCAAGTTTGCATATAACAACACCCTCCATGCGTCGACTCAATACATACCATTCTTTTCCAACTATGGGTATCATCCAAAGCTTGATTTATTGAGTCCGTCAAGAAATAACAATCTAGCAGCTGAAGGATTTGCAAAACAACTATCAGAGCTTCAAAATATGTTGAAGCTTCAATTACAATCTGCTCAAGAATCCTACAAGGCGTCTGCAGATAGATTTCGGAATCAAGCACCTACTTTCAAAATTGGAGATAAAGCATGGCTTCTTCGACAGAATATTAAGACCAAGCGACCATGTGATAAGTTGGACTATCAAAGATTGGGACCATTTATCATCCAGAAGCAAATCAATCCAATGGCGTACCATCTAGAATTACCGGCTTCTATGAAGGTACATCCAATCTTTCATGTTTCTCTGTTAGAGCCTTATCGAGAGTCGTCTTTTCCTAGAAGAGTACAATATCCGCCACTTAGTATTGAGATCGAGAACCATGAGGAATACGAGGTTGAAAAGGTACTGGATTCACAGCGAAGGTGGGGCAAGTTGGAGTATCTTGTTCATTGGTGCGACTACGACATTAATGAGCAAACGTGGGAGCCAGCTGAAAATCTCACCAATGCGCCGCAAAAGGTACAGGAGTTTCATCAACAACATCCTCATAAACCTAAGCCGGTTTGACGATAGCTTCGTTCTGAAGCTTGCTCACCCAAGAATATAAGAAAGGGAGAGAGCACCACCAAAATTCGTAGTTGATGTAGTTATTTTCTCCAAGATAAAATAGAATTTTTTTCAATAGCCATAGTTTGGTCTTCTAATATGGATAGCCAAGAGACAGATACTATGCCAGTCAAATTATCTCAACCGACTAGCTCACGAAGGCGACTCCGAGATGAAGAATTGCCTACACCACGACGACGACGGAGTGTCAAAGACAAAGACTTGATGAGGAAAAATATACACAAAAAGGCTATCTCGATATAATAAGTCAAAATATAAACAAGTAGGTATATTAAAAGGAAACTGGAATGGCTATTGCCACAAGACAAGAAACTAAAGACTCTTGAATCTGGACTAGAAGCAAGAAAGGAGTTGACAAGAGTGAAGAAGCCTTCACTCTTGTCTCTATATATACTATCTAACTAGGGGCTACGTGGCGACGTTCTATAGGACCTCCAATATGTGTTGACTTTGTAGGACACATGCCTTGACTTACAAGGCAAGTTTTTCTACGTGTGGGCCACATAGTTAGCTTGATCTTCAAGCTAACAACATGTGTGGCACATGGCCAACTTGTTGACCACGTTTCTAATCCAAAAAGTCAATTAAAGACACCTATGAAGTCAAAGCAGCGTCTAGGAAGTTTCTAAGAAGCTTTCATATTAAATATTATAGAATTAACTTACTTTTATCTACTTTTACTTACTTCTACCTATTTCTATATGTAATTATTAGCTTACATGATTATGGCCGTGACACGGAGGATACCGAGTAAGTGATCACTGGTGATTGTATTTGAGTCCGAGCCTCCTAATGACGGTCAGCCAGAAGGCGTGTTTGTAGGACAATTTCACAATGAGGACACGGAAGTTCATGCTTGGTCAGAAGTTGAAGGAGTGGGCCACTACTGTTGGCTTCAAGGGCCGATGAACCACTTGCCTCATGAACAACAATTGGAGTTCATAGCAGACATTATATGACAGATCTTCATTTTCTTGCGTTGGTACTGATTAACAACAACATTGCTTCTCAGAGACCTCGAAGCTAAAGGAGGGGGTGATGTTAGGGACATAATCCTTAGAACCTTCTAGAGACAAGTTTCTAGAACCTTCTAGAAGCAAGTCTTTGGAACCTTCTAGAAGCTTCTTAGTTAGTAGAAGATGTTAGGGACATAGTCCTTAGAACCTTCTAGACATAAGTTTCTAGAAGCTTCCTAGTTGGTAGAAGTTGCTTGAGAAGCTTCTTTAATAGGAGTATATATTGGAATCGAGGCTGAAGAGTTCTTCAGTCTCGACAACACATCTCTTGGAGCTCTAACTCACCTCTCTGGTGTTGTTCTCATTTGATTAATCTAGTTCTTGCCAGTTCTTCTTGAACTTCTTGTTAGATCTCGAGTTTGTATTTCTATGTCCGTGACAGGTGGAAACCATTTTTGCTAAGGTAAGTTATTATCAGCCATATGTCTTGCTTGGTAAGAATAGAAATCATCTTTATCATATGGCCTTCCCTCAAGCAACCACGTATAGATATGTGGTCCTTTTGATCATTTGGCTTCTTTTAACTACCTCTATCAACTAATAAAAGTTAATAAAAATCAATTAATTATTAGAATTCAAAGATTATTGATTATACACCGTAGAACAAAGTCAGTTTCTAAAATTTTGATTAATTATCAAAAGTTATTAGTTTTTAGGAGATTAATTATTAGAAGAGCAGTATGTGCGTGTGTCTATATATATATATCTATATATATATATCTATATAGAACTTATAAGATTAAAAAGACCTTTGTCTCTATTAAGAAAAGATATAATTTTTATTTATTTTATTTTATTTAGAAGAAAATTAACTATTATTCTTTCAAGGGGTCTTTGTGTTTTCTTCCATTATATCTTGATTGCTATAACTTTGAATTGGACAAGTGAGATATTCATTAACACTAATGTCTTAACCAATATGTCAACCTATGAAAAACGTATGATAAAAATGTAGGTCATAATATTTAAATCACTTCAGAATGTACACTTTGTGGCAGAAAACATCCACTTCGAAATCACTCACGCAGGGTCTCAAACTCTTCATGAAAGCGGCTAAATGTTTCAACTTCATGCTCCTCTTGCTGGTCAATGTGAAGCAAAAACGATGGCGATTTGGAACGAAAAACCAAAACCTTCACATTTCACACTCTTCACACTGTTCTCTCTGACCAATTCGGTGCTGAAAGTGTCACTTTTAGCAGGTCAAAATAGGCTTCAAAGTCTGCGATGTGCAGCGAGAGCCTTGTTTCTATTCTGTTCCGTTTTATGATGCGGATCGCAGTTGGGGTCCACGTGGGGAAGAAGAAGTAGAAGAAGTGGATGTGTATGCCGACACGGCTTGTGTGACAACCCATCCAGCAGAATTGGTTCATGGAAGGGCAACAAGCTTGCGCAATCCATCACAAGCTTTGCTTTCAGTGGGTGTGAGGGATTTTTTTCGGTGTTGCAACAAACAAGCTGAGCTTCGACCAATGTTTGTGTGAGGGAGTGAGGCGAGCTGAGACTCATGAAAGTTGAGAAGAAGAAGAGGAAGCGAGCTGCACAGGAGGAGGAGGAGGAGGAGGAGGATGGTGAGCTAGGGGACCTCTACTTTAGAGGCATCGCTGCTTATTTCGTGGAGACGGGAATTCAGCCCCGCCGTTTGCAGGTATCCTCTTCTTCTTACGCTTTGGATTGCATCTGTGGGGACGCTAATGGGATGTGTTTGTGTGTGTCTGGAGGTTTGAGCATTGCTTACCTTCCTTGAATTCACTCCACTTTTTCATGCAAGTTGATTCTGATCGCTTGGACTGTTGTGAGAATGTATAAATCCTAAACCCTAGCCCGAACTTAAATCTTGAAATTGTGATCAGTTGTAGTGAGCTGCTTTCTCCTTGCATGTTTCGTGTACTAGAAACCTAGTGTCTTCTCTGGCATTGGAGACTAGAGGGTGGATTAGGTTTCCTAGGCTATCATCGAATCCAAGCGTTGGTTGGTCATATGCTATTGTTAAGGATTGATGCAATTGGGTGGGGATGATGGTAGCAATCGTGTGGTGGATTCTGAGGATGAGGGTGTTTCTAATCTGGTGATACGTTGCAGATATGGAAGCAAAAACTCCTGCAGCTTGGGGGTGTGGTGGAGGATCATTGGTCGGAACACCTCAGTCACGTTTTTGCAGCCAGTGTCGAAACGGTTACAGACAAGTGTGGACGCCGCAAATTGAAAAAGTCGAAAACGGTCCGTGTTTTATTCTTCATTGATATGCACTTACATGATAAATGTAAGCCAGGTGGTTTTATAAATTGAAAAATTGTCTCTATCATAATGTTCTGAATCGGATTCTTAGCTACCTTGGAGGGGATGGTTTTCATATTTCTTCATTCTGCAGCTGCATCATTGAATAACCAAAGGAAAGAAGTGTGGATTTAATTGCCCTTGTCCTTTACTGCCTTGCATGTTGTCATTTGCGGTGTAACCCAAACATTTTATTCCTTGGAAGTTTGACCTTTATTTGTAGTATCTTGCAGAATGTTCTGAAATATACTTGGATTGAAGATTGCTTGAAGGCCGGCAAGTGCCTGCCCATCGATTCGTACGTCCTCGACATATTACCCGAAAATAGAAGTGTATCTCGAAATTCCACGGAGAATTCAGGCTTAAGGGATAATGCGCCAGAAAAGGCTGTTTCTTCCAGTCTACAGAAGTTGACTTCTTCAGAACGTGCCACAACCTCTGATTGGATGCAAATTATAAATGAGGGAGGCGAAATGGGGGTCGTCTCAAAGGGTTTACACAAAAAAGAAACGGAGGGAGGTATGCTCTGCATGATGCTTGTTTCTGAGCAAAGTTAGCCTGTTACAGTGTCATAATTGGCTCGAGTAATGCTACAAGTTTGTGTAAATTGTGAAGGTGGACTACATAATACTCAAGGGGCATCGTCGGAGGAGGATTGTGACATGAAAAATGAGGCTGAAGCTTCAAGTGCTGAGTTGGCGCCCGCAAGAGATGCAGCTCCTGGCCCTGTGGATTCTCTTAAGAACGAGGTAAGGACTTGGTTATCACTGTATGTCCCCATTGCAGTACTTGTTATCTTAGTCTTTTTACTCATCTAAAATCGATATATGTTCTAATGCTCAAGTGTGGTGACTTTAAATCGACAGCCCGAAGCTGGCTATACTCCTCCCAACTTGAATGCTCATATAACTGGCCCTTTCTCGGAGATAAAGGATATATACAAAGAAGGTAAGGCTCTTTCAGTCAAATTTTTATCCATTAGAAGCATTTGTAAATGAACGAGACATCCAGTACTTTATTTTTCTCCCATGGTCTAATGATTTATACTGGAGAGTGCTTTCTTTGAGTGTGAAGTATTACAAAACGATCAAGTTATTATTTGTGGCATATACAGCTCTAGGGGATGACCGAAGGGCTTTTAGTTACTACAAGGCGCTATCCGTTCTCGAGAAAGTTCCTTTCAAAATCACTAGTGTGAATCAGATTAAGGGGTTTCCAACAATAGGGAAATCACTGATGGAAAGTGTAAGTATCGATTGTTGCTGTTTATTGCATGCACATCTTATAGTTGATATTGATTTCTCAGGGATTCTTGAGCAATGTTGAATATTCAACTTTTGCAAGCTTCTTTACTTCGCTGGCTTTGTATACAGGCAGCCCCACTCTTTTGCGGGACGTTCAAAGTTGGCTGATGTTGCTTCTATGATGCAGATACATGAAATTCTATCTACCGGGAGGTTTTCGAAGCTGGAGCATCTCAAGAATGATAATAAAGTATTAGTCTATAATTATGTTCATGATTCTAATTGTAATAACAATCACACAAGTGTTGATATCATTAATCTTTAGTGCTCTTCGTGTTCTTTAAACTTCTGAATTACGGGATTTAATACACTATTTCCAATGGGTTCTATTCTATTTTCCATAGGGCGCTTGTATTTTATCCATTGAATCATTCTTTGGTTTAGCGCTCTACGAACAACCTGCTGGAACATTCACTGTTTTTTTGTTAGCAAAAGGTGATTTGAACGTTTCATTCAATTAGGTAATTTAGCTCAGTGATACGGACGTATTATTTCAGGTACGTGTGTTAGCCTTGTTTGGCTCTGTGTGGGGTATTGGACCAGCAACTGCTCAGAGGCTTTATGACAAGGGACTTCGCACACTAGAGGAACTGAAGACGGATAATACACTCACTCCTCCACAACGAATAGGCCTGATGTTTCATAATGACATAATCACGAAGATTCCCCGGCATGAGGTGACGTCCTTTCTTGTGGTGCATTCTTCAGTAAATATAACTTCGTAGATCGAGAGGGTCTCTCTATTGTTGAGTTCTATCTCTCTGCAAATGACGCAAACGAGCACCCATTCAAGAGAGAGCGGGTTTCAAAGTGAGCAGTATTCTTCTACACTTGAGATCAGCATCGTGAAGATTGTTGAAGTCTACTCACTTTGATCATATTTGTGTGAATTTGTTAGATACAAACTTGGCTTAAAAATGGTTTTTTCACGTTCATATTTTTAGATCAAGGAGATGGAGGCAATTGTGCAGAAGTCTGGATCAGAGCTTTGCCCAGGGGTGAGTTTTGTATGTCCCCAAACTTATCACAAGCGGGGAAACGAATGAAAATTTTCAAAAATTCTCAGTAGATGTCGCATACGTTAAATCCATCATAGCCTCACTATTGTCTTAGGGATAATTGTTAGAGGGTATGTGCTTCGCAATTCTTGTTATTTGCAATAACCTTTCATGAATTTATCTACCAGAATCATTGCCTGCCACGCTAGAGAAGGTTATGAACTATCGTCAGCTCTGTTTTGATTGCGAATCGACGTGTGGTTCTCTTCAGATCTCTATAATGTGTGGTGGTTCATACCGGCGGGGGAAAGCTTTGTCGGGTGATATGGATTTTGTTATAACGCATCCGGATGGCCACAGGTTTAATACGAGCTACTCCTTCAATATGAACCCAGCAATATACTGAGACTAGATTTATTCCACGGGATGCTTTGACTTACGAATTTTACAACTGAACGAATGCTGAGATTAGCTTCTTGGTGCAGTCATACAGGTTTTCTGCATGAGCTAGTCAGGAAATTAAAATCAGAAGATTTTTTAACAGAAGATCTTAGGATCGGTATCGAGCACAGCACCGAGGTATTTAAAGACTGATTTCAGCAACTTGCTAACGTCACTTCTGATTTGATTGTTGTTTCCAGTTTACCCAGCTTCTAAAACTATTAATTGAAGTATATGATTTTTAATGCCCACATACTTCGACCAACTTTCAGGGAACGGATCATGGAGTTGACACTTGGTTTGGACTATGCAAGTACCCAGGTCGGGAGATGCGGCATCGTGTTGATTTTAAGGTCTGTACTAATAGTTGCATAATTTCTCTTCGACTTTTAGATGAGAAATTGTAGAGGTTTAGTTTTATAGACTACGTCGCTTTGTGAAGTTCAATGTGAAGGGATTAAAAGAATAGCATGAAAGAAGTTTTTCTCTTGCTGTATTCAAGAGTTGTGCATGGTGTACCCTAGATGAAAATTACGGTAATTTTCGTCCTCTTTCATGTTTTAAAGCCATTGGTAAGTATCGGATGCAGGTTTACCCCTTTGACCAGTATCCATTTGGTCTGATCGCGTGGACGGGCAATGATATTCTAAATCGCAGGTAAGCTCTCATGTGTTGATAGCACTTGGCATGCCCTTTCACACCTAATTTAATTCCATGTTTCTTTCTTGGGAGCGATTCGTTTTGCAAATTTGTGTTCTACGTGGTCTAAACAAGCGCTACGTGATCCGTTGGTAGCCATCAATGTAACATTTCGTAACCTTTTCGTTTCACGATGAATCTAACGATGTTTTGTTGCATCAGGTTAAGGTTATTGGCGGAGGCCAAAGGTTACAGTCTCGATGATCATGGACTATATCCAATAGTTACCGATGCTAATGGTGGCAAGGTAAATACGTATTCTAGTAATACTGCACATGATATAGTATCAATCTTTGTCAATATCTATTATTGTTTCACTTCTGGAGTTTGACTTCGTTTGTGTTGTCCATTGGAATTTTATAAATGCAGGTCAAGTTATCTGTAAGCGTGCCCTGCAAATCCGAGTGTGAAGTGTTTGAGAAACTGGGGTTCCCCTGGCTTGAGCCTCATGAGCGCAACTTATGATTCTCAGATGGTGGAACAGTCCCCTTGCACATTGTAGGAACTTTGTTGTGTGATACAATTTGTTTAGTTTTTTTTTAGTTTTGTGATTTTTTAGTTTTATGTTTCTTGTATAATTTCTTGGTTTTTAATTTGGAATTCTTATCGATTCCATAGGAACAAAGACACGATAGATTTTTCACATGTTGATTACTAAAGGATGTCGGCATGGTGTTATGAACTTAACCTGACATTTTACTGTCCTTGGGATTGGACTCAATAGGACTGCGTGTTTTGCATCTGTGTATTCAAATGCATTACAAGAATTGGACAACACTCTTAATGTATTCTTTGATGTATAAACTAAAAACTCTTCTAGATCTGACCTGCCCAACTCCTAAACTCCAATGAAACAAAAAGTTGAGAGCAATAATCTGGATATATATAAGTAAATATATTGTTTTGCTGTACGAAGGCATATAATACATGGACAGAGTCGACTAATATCTCGCAATTATAAATTAGTCCGTAATTAAAACCTCCTGTATATTGGACTGCTAGGGTTACATCAGCTGAAAATCAATGGACTGGCTGCTTTCTCTCTTGGTATTCTTGAAACGTGAGGGTTTAGAACCTCACCGCGGCGACTGAGATGACTCGGATCTTCACCGTCCTTAGACAACGATGGAAACGACCGGGGAGGTTCAGCACTTGTCGATGCAATTTGCGAGTGTGCCTTGACATCGTCGTTCACAGGGGCGCGACGTGCTGTAGGAGGACCGGTTTCTATGGAAATTCCAAGAGAATTCTCAAAATTTTGCTCTATGGTATTCCAGATCGGTCATCAGTCTAAACGGGGGGATGCATCACTAAAAACATTTGGACCATCTAAACTCCAGTGGTTAGCTTGTGGGAGCCTGAATTTGGATCTGAAGTTGGATTCGCAACAACTCTTGAGAACTATTTTCAAATCTCAATACACTTTTCTGGTTAAAAAAAACTCTGTAGAGTAGAGCATCAGCTTGAACAAGCTGACCAGCAACCCAGCATACCTCTCAAATTTCTGTACACGAACTACTCTAAATGATCTCCAATTCTGAGCTGATCCTGTTCCACGATTCACCAACATTGATGTTACAATTACGTCTAATCTTCAATTCTAAGATGCATGCACATCCACACAGACTACATTTATCTACATGCTGGCACCTAAAGCGCCACCAGATCTGACCACGATACGCGAAGTCTCCAGTAGTATCTCCTCCTGCGTTAATAGGAAATCATCCATGTTCTGCACAAACCAAAAACACGACGAGGATGTTGAAGAAGTAAAATCACCGAATCCTGATACCGAAATCTAGTTCTTAAAATTGTGAAATATGTGTAGCAGTGTTAACGGCGGCTTACCATAGGCTTGAGATTGCAGGAGATGATGAGGTTGAACGAGGTCGAACCGACCTGAGAGACATAGCATCGGGTCTTCTCGTCTTCTGTGGTTACCTTTGAGTGTGATTGCAGCATAGATCGCACTTCTGATGTTATAGTGGGCAGCTTCTCTAGAGACGTGAGCTTCACTGGCACGTTTAATTCTAGTCCTCGTGTTTTGACTCGCGACCTGTTCACTATCACCTGCACCGCACCACGCCCAGATCCAGTCTTAGAAAACGTTGGAATCTACTTCGTCTTGCGCCGAGCGAAAAAACTTGAGCAGAATTAAACATCTTAACAACATGGGGAGATGCTTGATGGCATCAAGGGTCACCTGGCTGGAAAAGAAGGAATTCGGCACAATGGTAGGGAACTTGTCACGGTTGAGGATCTCCGTTGAGTGGATGCCTATATCCACCACCTCACCACTCAAATCCCCCGCCTGCATATCCCCACAGTGTGCTTCGTAAATTTAGTTAGAAAATCCACGGAGTGTCAAGGAGGATTCCGCAAAAGCTGCTTAGCCAAGCAAGAGGTGAGGATTCACTACAGAAGGTTGTCATGCAATTATCGGTCGGGACGAACTTACGGTGATGTAGTCGCCCACAGAAAATGGACTCCAGAATTGAATTCCAAGTCCACTTATAATGTTTCCCAATAAGTCCCGGGCTGCGAATGCCGTGGCCATTCCTGGAAAAAAAGAAAAAGAAAATTGAAAATACGGTAGTTCAGTAAACTGGGGAATTTATGTCCCGCAATTGGAAAGAATGAAGTTTGAATATTCCAGCGAGCAAACGATTGGTGATTTTTGCGCCACAACTCCCTCAGCTTCTTATGAGATGCTAGATGCATTTGTGAACGGACAAACTTAGAAAAGATATTCGGGTTGCTTGTGGTTGACGTAGAGCGTGCGCAAACAAAAGCGTGAAAATTAACTGTGAAATAGTGCATTGAGAAGAATTGTTCATGTGTGTGAAACTGACCTCCGATTCCTCCGACTGTGATCACTGATTGCACCGCAACGCCGCAGGATTCAGCCAACGCCATGCTTCCTAACACCACCAACGCTATCGACGAGAGACGATCCATGGTGAGGTACCGCTCCTTACTGTCATGGGAAAGAGATTTCCCGGAAGCAATCCGCATGAAGACATTCCTCTTGTACAAATAGAGAAACCAAATGAAACTAGCCGTCGTCACACCACTCCGGATTTGGAAGAGGTACTGAGATCCCAGGGACCGCGGTGCCACCAAATATCCTCTGCAACATCCAAACCAAAAACAGGAAACTCCATGAACAACCAAAAAAAAGATCCTGCAACTCAATGACAATTTCATACAAGTCTCTCGGCAATCGACCATAGCTTTGAGCCAGAGTGGGGGAACGCTCACAAGTAACTGAAGGTCAAAGCTCCGGAAAACAAGCGAATCGGATCTTCCAGAGCGCCGAACACGCTTTGATGGAACGGCACAGAGTCGGCGTACTCCTGCCCGTGCATACGTGCTTTGGGGACCGACTCGACATAACTGTGGCAGCGACGCAGCACGTTGGGGAGCAGCAGCCAGGCTGCGGAAGACAACCCCAACGCCATGGTCCCAGGCAACAAAGTTTCCATCACAGTCATTCGACGCAACGACTCCAGCATATCCGTCACTCTCCAACCAGCTCCCCCCATCTACTCTTCAAATACTGTACTCCCTCCCTCTTGGCACTGGGTCTCTGATACCCTCCCAGTCAATCGGATGGCTCGGTTCAGACTCTCTGCAACACCCTTGAACAAATTGTGTGTCGACTCAAACCAAAGTCACTGTCTAGAGATGAGAGACGGATCCAGGGACAAGTAAGGTGACGATGTCGAAGCTCTGATACGGACCTGAAAAAGGATTCCCATGCGCTTCAGGATGGCGCAGACACTAGATTTTCGTACCTGATCGAATCACAAAACTGCAGCGTCGTCGTCGTCGTCGATATTACTAGCGAAAAATGAACCCCAACTTCGATCGATCGATCAATCTATGAGTTCTAACTCCATCCATGGTATGGGTCCATGCTCCTGGATTTCGCAGGCCACTCTACATCAGGCGGCACTAACTAAGTGCGTGTCATCGCGTGAGAAATAACACACCAACATAACAAAAAATAAAAAAAACAAAGACAAAAATAGACGTAAACACGTGGCAGGGATCCATGCGTCGTTGTCGACTTGGGATGACTAGCGTGAGACACGTGTACGGTAGGCAGTGTGTGACTTGGCCCACAAGTGGTAGGAAACTGGAAACGGGAAACTGTGGAACCCAGGTCATCAGATTTGTGAAGTACTCGTCCCGGATGCTAAAGCAGACATTTGACAGTTGGATCCTTGAGTTAGCTTGGGTGCAGCTTTCCGATGGCCAGGTTTCGTGCTGGAGCTTTCCTCGGGACCAATGCTGCTGCTAAAACCATGGATGGATTAATGGATATATGGATGAATGGATTGGTTGGGAGGGGATAGAGTGGTGACAATTGCCCTTTTCTTGCCTTTATTTATTAAATAAGAATGTTTAATAGAACCAAGTTTTTAGTAAATCGACCCACCCATTTTAACCATGATGAAAAGGAAAAAAAATGACCTCTACATTCATATGTCCACAATTGGATTTGCAACCAATAAAAACCAACCACATTCATCATGATTACCATATTCTTCATCAATAATGGATATATTTAGTAAAATTATGGGTCTATTTAACATTCCCCTTTATTTTATTTCATTTATTTTTAGTGACATTGTTTCAAGAGATTGGTAGACCCCAACACCACCATCCTATCATGAAGTGTCAACACCAAATAAGGATGATGCACCCCCTCATGAATAATTTTATTTTTAATTCAAGTGATTTGTGCTAAAACTTTGATGAAAAGCTGAAGTATCAACAAATGCAGGATTAAACCTGTATTCACAATACCAATGGACTTCTAAATGAGACATTTTTAGATGTGTACTGAAACATGAAATTTTACTTCATGTTTTTATTTCTTTTGCAAAATTATTTCAGAATATTAATTGATTATTTGAATATTTTGAATATTTTTTATTTTTTATTAGAATATAAATATAATCAATGAAATTATACTTAGCTTGGATTTAAGAATTATGATTTAGAATTATTTAGACAAAAAAATATTTGTAGAATTATCAATAATTATTAAATTCAATACCATTATCAAATCCAGTGAATTTAATAGAAAGAAAAAAATATAATTATTTCATGGTTTCTAGAATATTTCTATTTGACATTTTATACATTTCTTGATTTTATATATATATATATATATATATATATATATATATTCCATATTTAAGCATATATTATAAATTTACTAAATCAAAATAATATCACGAATTAATATAGTTAAATTTTTTAAAATATAATTGACTTAGTATACATAAATACTATAGAATTTACAAAAGGTTCATAAATAAATTGATAGTAATGTAAACCAACTACAAACTATGATTGCAAGTAAGTATATTAAAATTCATAAAAACTACATATTGTGTATAAAAGAAACAGTCTAAGCTATACACCATCAATTATAAAACCAAAAGTAATTTATGTTCTTTAAATTAATTTATCACATCAAATCAATTTTAATTAGGTACTTAATTATCTAATGGTAGTTGATTTTATGATAATTACAAAATTTCAAAAAATATTTTAAGTTTTTGTAAAACCACTTTATATCTTTTTTTTCTTTTAGAAACAAATTGTTGTTGTATTATTCGTCAAAAAAAAATATTTTTTATATTTTATATAATATAATTATTTTTATAGCATTTGCCTTGTCCATGACTCAAAGGATTTGTAAAATTAGATCACCGTTCTTAATATTTTTGTGCTTTTAGGACTATGGCGTGTAGCATGGATTTAGCCATGCATGCTGTAATGAGTGTATATGCTTTAATTGACTGAAACGTGGTCAATTTAGTAAAAATTCCAATCAACGTATCAATTTCCATATATATATATATATATATATATACATTACTTGTGTAATGTAAATTATATTAAGCTATAATCAAGTATTAAAGAATTACTTTTAAAATCTTGAATTTTATTAATAATATTATACTAAAATAATAAATATTGACCAAATATTATATATAACTAATAAATTATTTAATAAAATATATATTGTAGAAAAAAATTTAAATTCATTAATATTTAATAACTCTAATAATTATTATTCTTATCAAATTTCATCTTATACTTATTTCTTTTTAACAAAATGTCCTTAATTTATTTATTTTTCTAAACACTATAATCATATTAATTAAAAATATTAAAAAATAAGTTAATTTTATTTCTTAAAATAAATAGAATAATAAATTATTATCTATTATATTTTATTCTTTTAATGATTTTAATTTATTATAATATTAATATTAAGATCACAAATATGTAACAAACTTCAATTATAAGTACTTTCTATACTTTTACTAACATTTGTACTACTTTTTGTAGGTCTTTAAAAAAAATTATATCATAGTAGAATCTTCAATTAAATTTTTAAAATCTTTCATTTTTGTCTTGTTATTTTAAGAAACTTCTAAGCCTTTTGGTTCCTAGAAAGCCTCCTCAAGACCTTTTTAGTAGCTAGTATATATGGAGGGAAGATTAAGACTATCTTGAAACTTTCCAACATTTCTTTTTATGCTCTAAACTTTATTTAAGACTCTTTGGGTTCTTTATAATTGGCAATAGCCATTCTAGTTTTATTTCATTGCAGTTGTATTTATGCTTTAACACATATATATATATATATATATATTTTTTTTTATTTGTCTATTTTGTTTTTCATTGATATAAGTCTATATTATTCTCTTAGAGTTTTGTTGTGATTTGTGTCTTAAATAAAAACATAATCAAAATTTCAGTTTTTATGTATTTTGTAAAAGATTTAAACAAATTATTATTTTTAAAATATTTAAGTTACTTTTAAATCAAAACTTAAATATATTTTAAATTTTTATCTGTTTTAAGATATAGTTTGTTGAAAATTTAGAAAATATATAAAATGTTGGTCTATGATAAAAATGTGATATTATGTCTTCAATTGATGATTTTATCTTGAAATTTTAAAACTTTAATAGGCTATCATTTATTATTAGTCACAAAGTTTATTAATATTGAAGCATGCTATTTATGTGATTGTTATAAAATTTTAAAATTAAAATAATATTATTAAAAAATTTTATTTTTCTTACAATATCAATTTTTGACTTTTGATGTAATTATTTCTGGGTACTGCATAGAATTTCTTTTGTTAATAAATCAAATATTTTGTAGATTATGATTTAGTAGGTTTTTTAAAATTGTGTAATATCTAATATTATATTACATGTACTGAAATTGTGTAATCATTTTTTTTTAAGCAACAATTATACTTGTTTAATTGAATCATAATTATATATTAATTTTGGTATATTTATTACTGTCAAAAAGCATTGTCATGAAAAGATAAATGACTTTTCTACTCTATCGGCTTTATAAATGAAATCCAAATTCATTAGCATGCATAGTAAAATAGATAGTTTATTTCAACCTGTTATTATAACAATAATTAAAGACAGTTATGTAAACTGAATCTCTTTCTGTTGTTGCAAAAGATAATTCAACTTAATTGGTGGACTTTGTTTTGTAGAGGGATACAAGTTGTGTTTAGTAAAATAAAATAACTTCTACTTAATTAAACAACGTAATTAAAATTTTAATATGGAATACAACACAATTTCTGCTCATTTATTATAAACAACGTGAACAAATTTGTAAAATAAAATTATTGCTTCAGGAATGATTTTTAAGTTATGATTTTAAAAAAGAGAACATGTAAAATCAAACAAAACAAATAAAAGATATGAACAAAAAATTATTTACACATATATAAACAAACATAGAAATGTAGTACGTAAATGCAGTAAAAAATGTGGTCTGTCAATGCCAGTTATAAAATTATTTTTAGATTTATGAGATTGTTTGATATGATTGCAGAATTTTTCTAAATAATAGACGTTTTATGGCAATTCATTAAATATAGAAGCACAAGTTTTTGGAACTAAATTAGAATTAACTTGATTTATAACTATAGACATATGTATGTGTGTATATGTATATATATATATATATATATATATATACTAACACATGCCATTTCAAAACCAAATATATTTAATATTCACAATATTCAGGATCTTTAAAATTAGAGAATTAATAAAAGAAAGAAATACATAAGATACAAAGTTGGTGACATCCACAGCCTTAAAATTGTCGGAGGCATGGAATTCGACTAGCCATTATGAAGAGCCTCTAGGTTACAACATGACCCAGAATCGCATTCTATTGACCTTACGGTTGAATGATTCATTCTGTGACGATAGGATCATTTCCCATATTGAAAACATGCAATAGTTTTGTGGGGTCCAACTTGTGGTAAAAAGAAGGATGCATGTCCGTAATGAGGCAAACCAGTTTTAAAACAACCACTTGGACTCTATGACTTGAGGATTCAAGCACCTGAGTGAAGTAGCTTCTCAGAGTGGATCGCCGAGACTCTGGCTGCAATCTGTGGTGATCGTCAACAATCCCTTCCTCTCCGAAACACCATCCTCCTTAGTAACGACGCATTCTGATTGTTGACTGACAGCTTCTGAAGCATACTGCAACCATGAACACAATATTGTCAGAGAATGTCCTCTGGGAGAATTTCAGCCAAACTGCATTCGAATCTTGTGGCCACCTACAGGAACACAACCCAAGTTACTGGATATAAGGCTGAAGCATTGCACATAGCTTGGAAGGTGAACACAATAGTTAGTAACTAAAAGGCCAGTACATGCTTCTGTGAGATCATTATTTTATAAACACAAAGAGTGTGCAGCTGCCCTGGTTAAGACATGCAGAGATATAGCCATGTGGCATATTTGCTGCATAGCCTGCAAGGTAGAAATGAGCATTTTCGGTTCAAAGGTCGAGTAGGGCTAACTGAAGGAGATACAAAGCAAGGGAAACCCACCTTCTGAAAGCACTCCAAATCGGTTTGCAAAGTGGCCTGCCAGATTCGTTCATCAAAAGGTTAACGATAGCCATGTAATGATATAGGTGTTGTGACCAGGGCATATACAAGTAGTAACAACTGATGGCACGCATTTAAGCATACCAGCAACTCAGCCATTGAGTAGCTCAGCTGCAAGCCCTCTCTTGAATTGAAGACACATTGAATCATACTAAAGATCTTCTGCGTGGCAAGAATCTACCATAGTACCTACATAATATTTCAACTGTATCCACTAGAAACGAAGATTACCATAGATATGCCACTAATATTTTGAATCATACCAACCCAGAGAAATGTGATCAACGTAATCTGATAACGTGAAATCAAGTGCTAATAGCCTCTGCGCCTGCCTAAATGAAACTGATAAAAGTGATGTACATGAGTACTAAAAATAGAGGCCGATTCAGACACGTGAAACTACGCTTGCAGCTCAGACAATTCAAAGAGCACGTGACTCAAAAAAAGATTACCTGAACCAAACCCCGCAGAGCACTTGATGCCATCACTCGACCAAGAGCTGCGGGCAATGAATGTGATATCTGCAACAATTATCAAATACTCCTAAAATATGGAACCCTCCATTTCAAGACTTAACAGGAAAGTTGGAAGCATACACTGCGGTTCCAGATTCCATGACAGTAGACATAGGTGGTAAACAAATTGCTAGGATGGAAATGCTCTTCCCAACCCTTTAAGAGCATTTGAATGGATGTGGATCTAACTCATTGAAGTCAAGGTAAAGAGGATCACATTCTGCAGGTCAAAGAATATTATGCTGAGAAACTTTGGCGAAAAAGGAAAAAAAGAAACATTCAAATCACATTCAAAGCCATGAAACTACTGATGCGCTTACAGAAAGCTCCACGGTAGTTCCCTTAGTATTGTTCTCTTTAAAAGTCACTTCGCCTCGGTTTGTAAGGCCCTCCACAGTTGTCCACCTTAAAACTCGTACTGGTGAATTGGACTCCACGAACTCTACTCTAGCGACCCACACAACCTTCCTCCAAACACAACTGCAACAACATAAGATCCATATCCAGCAATAGCACAAATATGCAACATCCTTCGAACAAACATATTTGTCTTCGAGTACCGTACGAGGAGATGAAATTACCCACCTCAAAACCAATAGTGCTACAGGTCCAACGCGAGAGCTGACATAATCCAGGTGGCAGGTCATGGGATGAATCGGTACTAGCATCCTCATCCAGGAAATCAACTCGATCGATCCATCGCATCCTACCACATTCACGGAGTATTACTCAGCTGCTGTTGATCTAAATGTTAGAAGTGCACCAAGAAACATATTATGGACAGGTTATTGCACATTGACATGACAGGCTGCGATGGGAATTTTTATGTGGAGATAGTGTTCAAAGTTTCGTATAGAAACCTGAGACCCTCTTGCTGGATCAAGTACTGATCACAAAAACTCCACTTGCAGCAAATTTGCAATGAGAACAATACTTCGAAGCGGCATTGGAAAAAAACAGGCATATCCAAACCAGTCATTCGACCCAAGAGGGATTTACAAAAACACATTTGGATCGACATACCATAGTGGAGCGCTCTTAATATCGGTCCACAACTTCCACACCAAATCGGGTGGCGCTAACACATCTAGTGCCACTTTGTGGGTGAACTCCAGTGAATTTGCAGGAACCTCCTCCTCCGCGCCATCAACTAATTTGCACACGAATTAGATGGACATCCCACAGTCATACACATCATACAATGACGAATGACCGCATTCTGAACCGGTTGTGATTCTTGAACCTATCAAGCACATTGGTTCAAGTGCAGCTGGCAAATCATGGGCCATGGTGCACATATTGCTACTGCTGCATGTGGAAAATCGAGGAATTACAATTTTTTTTAAAAAACCCATCAGGAGGAGACGTACCAGGGCCGTCGCTAGCTGAAGCCAAACACGCCTTCAATCCACTCAATCGATTCCCACCTTGTTGTAACGTAAGTCTGAAATTCAAATGACGAACAGGGGGACCGACACTACCGAACGAAAACCTTGTGCTAACCGGAACTAAGAAAATGTAATTACCCTGGAAATTTATACGAGAATTCCTACAAAGAGTCGCATCCCTACAACAACTAGCACTAATCTCCCCACTCAACACCGCCATTCTTACACCCAATCCGAGATTCCCTTGCTCCTTGTCTCGACCACCCCTGGAGCGCAACCCTTCCGCAGGATTACCTGTTCCGGTAACATCATTCGCCAAAACTAAACGATGCGGGCAAGGCTTACTCCTCCACACCGAATGCGAGACCGGTGTGGGGTGGGCAACCCACATTGCAATCTACGGAAGCCTGTCTTTCAATGTGAGAAGCAAGCAGCCCGCAAGGTAGTAGTATACATGTGTGGCGAAGATAAGGTACTACTACTCAACGACGACGACGACGACGACGACAATGGTTCAAACAAAGTTGCAATGCGCGTGTGCCAGTGCGAGAATTGCAGCCTCGAGCCACAAATCTAACACTCGATTCGTCGGAAGCCCTCGCGTCGGTCACCCCCACGTAACAGATTCCGACCCAAGCCTGGTGGGTGGTGTGTGTTTGCTAGAAAGCTCGGTCGGACCCACTTGGCCGCATCGACAACCGAGTTCAATCTGATTGTGGGTTTTCTGATGCTCGCAATTCTTTTTTGTCGACATGGATGAGTGCATTTTACTGGGCGTGAAAAGAATGACGCGAGCTGCGAATTGAAATCGGTTTCTGGCTCTGGATTTCATGTTCTCAACTTCTTTGTTTTTCGTTTGGTTTTTGTGGCTTTCAAGTGGGGATTGCTAATTGGGCCATTAGCGTCTAGCATTAGGTTTGCCCTAGAAAATGTGATATTATAGTTTTATTTTTTATTGTTTTTTTTTTTTTTTTTTTTGAATCGCTTAATTTTACTATCAACTGTTATATTATGCTATACTTCGATAATGCCACTGTACTTTAATTCACCATATTGGGCATGTAACACCAATCTATTAGTAGTGCACTTATGATTCTAAGCATACTAAATTTCAACCACATGGAATGTAAAGAGTTGGCAAGCAATACGTTTGCATCGTTTAGATAAAAGTAATTCTTAAGTCAAACTTCAACACTCTATCCTTGTCATCAATTATATTTTATTTTTCTGGACAAGGTCCCCCTGTCAAAGTAGCAATCACTTATGTGAAAAACCTGTAAAATTCGATGGATAATGCTGAAAATTCTGAAGAGATTTTGGTAAGTTACAACAGTTATGATCGCTTTTTTTTCGATAATAAAAATATCAGGTAATTGCTCCATCGCATGAATACAGTGTTGGCCAGTCCAGAGGATGAAGATTGGCTATGAAAGAGACAAATTAGAACACTAAATTGGTTACTTAGAGATTGAAATACCATGTGTAAACGTAACATAATAAAAGTTTTACTCACTCATTTTAGTTGAATGATAACCAGGTCTTTAAAGTAGTATGCAGCGATACCTGAAAGTTGATATCATGTTAGTAGAACTGTTGCAGCTTAGCCCCCACACTCTTATTTGTCTGAGGAGCTCAAACTGTTACATGAATCAAATGAGGAGCCCAAATCCACTTTTTTATGCGCACACTGGATCGTCCAGCAAAGGAAGAGGATTAAATCCACGAGGATGTACACTGGTCTATCCCGATGTGGTCGCAACGAGAGACAATTCCAGAATCTACAGAGTGGACTAGCACAATGGATAAGTGCTATAACAAACCTTGACACTTAGAAAAGACATTTCTACAGCAGTATCCATGTCTACATATTCAGCAGCTCAATGCAGGCCCGACGGCAGCTATCAATGGGGAACTTCCTTGCTAATTTCAGGCTTTGTAATGTCCTCACTTATCGTTATGCTAACTGTGGGTTCCTTTTTTTTTGAGGTATTCTCCGAGCTGGCGCAAGCTGGGAGGTCTGACGGGGGAGCTTCAAGTGTCTGGTTTGTTCCTGTTCCTTCTTTGACGTAAAGGACTGTTTCCATTCCCCATGAAGTGTGAATCTCGAAGTGACAGTGAAAGAGCCAAACCCCTGCACACAAGCATTTCACATCACGACAGCCTTCAGTATGATAAGCGATCTGTTGCATCGAGTTGCCTTGGGGGTTTTTAACAGAACGATGCAATTGTAACTTCCAGCGGAAGAATTGCTATTTGTATTCATCTTGCGATAGATCTGGCCCTTGGCTTGTTCTGTTGTAAAATGATCAATTAGTGATGGGAAAGTTCCGTAAATCCTGACAAGGTTGTCACATATCGGTGGTCCAAAATCTGAAAGCAGTAAAGGAAGAAGGGATTACCAGGGTTGTCTGCTCGGAATCGAAGAGCAAGCCAGCCCCTGTGGGGTACACCAAAAGTGTTGCGCAAGGGCGGATCCACCAGATTGAAAGTGGCAGGGCTAGAGTCTGGATCATAGTTGCCATTTCCTCTGCCTACAATGTAGAAGCTGTATCCATGAAGATGGAAAGGATGCGTCTCAAATTGAACAATATTTGTATTTTGGAGTATTATCTGCACCACAAATCAAATCAGTTGTCACCACATGGTCGTATCTAGGCTTTGATGTAATAAAACAAAAACTTGGCAAGTGATGCTTCTTCAGACAGAGCGTGTTACGTTAAGCTATGATTGACGAACCCCATTGAGTGCTGAGGATAGCTCTCCCTTGTGCCTTTGAATCATCTCCTTTTAAAGGATCCTTAACCAGATTGACAGCAGCATAATAATAGGATGACACAGAGATGTGCTTTGCTCTACATTTGTCAGCCTGTAGGACGACTTCTTGCTAATAAACTCACTGATGGTGGATATGTAACGAGGTCAGAACTAACCTGGACACTGGCATTATAATTGATGACACTTAATTTTGTTGCATGTTTAGAAAACCACTGAGACAGTGGTAATCTGGTTGATCCGGTGTAGTTGAACGTCATTGTGGGCTGGCTTGGAAAGTCCAAATCAAGAGCTGATGTTACTGAGGCATTTCCATGATCACGCAAGTAGGCAATTTCCAGCAAAGACTTACTTGTTGTGTTTGGTGTAACAAAAGAAATGTTGTTCACAGATCCAACAACTCGGTATTGGCCATCATAACCATCAACACATGTCTTGAAAGGATGGCAGCTACTGGATTTATCCAATCCATAGCCCACTGTGAAAAAGAGATGCTTGTCTACAGTCTCCGGAACATCAAGAGTTTGATAAGTGGTATTGATGCTTTTCTGAAGATCATCAAATTTATGGCGGTAGTTTGAGTCATTAGGGGATGGAAATGTAGGCATGTAAGTAACGATTTCAGACGAGCTCCGTTCGATTTCATACGAGCTCTCTTCGTATTCCATTCTAGCGGTTGCAGGAATTTCAGGAAACGGGACCTGCAGGCGACACATATAACATGTAGGAGAACAGATTCTGACGATGCAAATGCACTTCACAAACTTCTCAAGACATATTTCGACGCAAAAGTTAATTTTCTGCACATGTGCATCAATTACTTGTGACCATGTACTGGTACACAAGCCAGTAAAAGAAACATCTATTCAACGAATCCAGCTTATCAGACTTACATATTGAGGATCAGGGACTGAATATGGCGATGCGGCCATGTAGTATCTTCCAGATGCCCGATTTGCAGTCAGTAAAGCATCTAAGGTTTGTCCAGGAGCAATGAGGACTGTATTCACAGTGAAAGGCTTCACGTAAGCAGAATCCAACTGCACCACTTTGAGAGAATGGTTCGCAACTCCGAAGAACATCCCAAAATTGAGGCAGGCGTTCACGACCCGAAGAAGATAAGTCTCTCCGTGGGTTACCTTCACTTTGAGAGCATCTTTACTCCGAGAAATTTATCGTCAGTAAGAGTTCTTGTCAGTTTGCGGGCCATCGGATGCTCAGTAGTGAGAACGATTAACTTTTCTGACACAAGCAATTCCGACGAGATGCATTGGTCACATATCGAGTTCAAGAAATGTGTGTTACCTTTTGATGAGTGGTTGTAAAGAAAACCGGGCTGACCATTTAAGGTAATAGCATCAGAGATATTATACCGTCCACCCCTAGCCAAAGCGTAAGCAAGAACATCCTCTACATCGTTGTTCCACCATTCACCTGCTCCGAGACAAAATTATTGGGATCCTCAAATACCAACAGCTTCTGTTTCTGAACTTGTGTTGATCTTTTTAAATTTTTCCCACAACACGAATAACTCCGTTTTGTGTGATGTTGTTAGGAGTGGAAGGTACCAGTAAACGTTTTCACTCCAATATTTGTGAGAAAGAAACTTCGAGTATGAGGCTCGATTAACATGATTTTGATTATGATTAATGACAAAATATTTTTTTTATCGCAAATAGCAGATAACCCTTACCAATCATGATGGTTATTTCACGCTTGGGTGAAGTAAAAGGAAATGATTCGAATTTTCTTGGTCGAAGCACAATTGGCCCATGAACACTCGCACGTAACCAGGAGATATGTGCATGGTACCACATTGTCCCTGTTTGATTGAGCAGCTGGAACCTGAATCGAGGCATTCCGTCAGCACCCAGTTTCCCACTATGGAAGAGACAGATCATTGTAAAGCAAACCTGCATGATACTCATCTTAGTACCATTGCACACTTGCTCAACACAACTCTCTGCAGGTAGATATGGACAACCATGATCATGGTAAATTGATTGCTTTAACGAACAAAAGATATTTAGTAGCTCCGAAATTCCCAAATGAAGGAACTCCTAGTAAGTTTCTCTATTGGTCAAAGATTGCAACCACCCAGTACATAGGCTTAACATTACTAATGTGGTGAACGTTCGTCAATAACATAGGCAGTAAGAACTGACTCGATGAACAACCATAATTTACACACTGAAGGTACATTTTCGTCGAGGTGTTTACATTAAAAAAGTACCTGTGAGAAAAAGATTGATTCTGCTGAAGAGGGCACATCGTAATGTAGGGAACACCATCGGCCCAACATGTGCGTATCTGCTTTACGCCATGCCTGCAATTTATAAACCTAGGTGAAATTGTTTGGTTACACGAATGACTTTGAAAAACATGTGATGAGTTTCTTTATATATTTTTGACATCCTCTTACAGGTCAGAAGCATTTCTTAAACGTCATTTAGATCATGTCGTCAACTCGTCTCTTCCCGAGGGCATGTTACCGTACACATACTCAGGAAAGTGGTGACGGCCATATCATCCTGACGAAATTCTTGGAATATATTTACATTAAAGCGAATGCAGTATCTCAAAACAGATAGTAATTCCTACTGTTCATAGAGAAAATCCAAAGCACGAATAAAACTTTCGAGAGTGCACGCGAGGCTTTGCGCCAAACCTCAGTTTGGGACGGAACAGAAAGTATATAATAACTAAGCTGGGAGTGCACGAATACTAAACCAGTGAGCAGAGCTTTTAACCAGTGAATCGTGACGGGGGCTGCGACAAGATTAGTGACATTGACAATGACGATGTCATCCTCATTGGCTCGTATTGCAGGGCCTGGAAATTGACCATTCACAACGATCATTCTCTTCGTATGGTTAAGCCTAGTGAAAGTCGCATAATTCACCTGCAGTCAATATTGACAGATTTAGTGAATAACAGCAAGTGGTAGATTCTTGAATACCAAATTGAGAAGAACAAATATACACTAAGGAGTATTCCACGGAGAGCATTTTCAAAATAAGTAATGTCACCTGTAGATTTAATAATACAAAAATCTGTACGAAAGACTGACTGACTGACCACGGACTGATCGCTTTTCGACCACTGCTAAACAGTTTATTCAAAAGAATGAAATACGCGTTCCTTACCACAAAATTGTACCGACGGGTGGTAATTCCTGAAGTCCCAGCCCTCACGACGCGATTTGTACTTAGGTGGATGCAGAAAACAAGAAAAAGTAACACGAACAGTTGACGGTATATTCCGCCCGCGAAGTACATCCCATTGAGGTGGATACTGAACTTCATAGTATCACAACTTCCTCTGGTTTTACCCATAAATAAGAATGCATGAGAGGCATTTGTTAGTCGAAGATCTTCGAAATGGACATTCTAGTGACCATTTCCTTAGGTAAGAATATCTCACGTAGACTCTTGTTCTGATTAAATTTCCTAGGTACGGTAAGTATTAACATTTTTAAAATGGTACCACGTCTCTTATGGTCTTTCATATGCGAGCGAGGTTCATTTGCATGTAGTTCCAGCAACGGTCTCACTGATAAGAAATCTACTGAATCTTGATTACTTACGAAGAAAATTTACTTTGGCGAGTACGATTTCCTGCACTGAGCTTCAAAATAATCACCCGAGGTAATAACTCAAAGCAGATAAAAACACGCATACACGGCAGCACATGGACTCTCAACGTACAATTGTCCACTTCTAGCAGAACACATTCAAAGCATCATGTCCACGTAGCCATTCATGCACGCATGCAAATTTTCTACGGGTGATACAATCCAGAGCCGTGCAGAGTAAATCCTTCTAAAAGAGAGCCTTCAAAGAAAGTTATGCATCTTACCAAATTAAGACCAGACCAACATCTTCCTCCACAATAACTTCACGACCCGAAAGGCCATTAAAATCTACTATAAACCTGAGCTGAATTGACAGCGAACCAGCTCACATGCATCAAACCATTCCAACGGAATCTACTACAAGGAACAGCGATGAAGCAGAGGGAAACTTCACACGTTTCTGCAACTCATGGATCGGCGCTAAGCTCACCTCCACCAGGTGCTGAAGAAACTGCAATTCTCCCGCAACAACATCCACATCTGCGTGAAACTAGGCATTTAACAGCGTAGGAAGCTTCTCCGAAGAGGTCCTAATTTGAATCACCGAAGTGGCCCCGCCATGAAGTTGAATCGCGCGGTGGAGTCGGTCGAATTCGAAATTCCATCATCATGACGTGGCATTACCAGCTGCCTCCCCCCCCCCCCGCTTCATTCTATAATTACTCTGTAGTAATGTTGTGGCAAGGCACTGGACAATTAATTACACGATTATATATTTCGGAAGATTATCAAAGCATTTGTGGATTAGTGTAATTCCTGCCTACACTAATTCAACTAACTATCAACACTCGTTATTCAATGACTTGCTTAATGGTGAAGAATAAGAATCCAACAACTAAACTATTCTAGGTCATTTTGTAAGATCCTGAATATCTGTCGTTGTTGGTTGTGTTGTTTTTCTTTTCTGTTCTGTTTTTCGTTTTTTCCAGTTTTTATGGTGAATGTCTGGAGTAAATCCGCACGCAAGAAAGTATCGTTGCACTGAGAACTTGGAATGATAATAGGCAATGCGTGTCACATATATAGGAGCACCCACTTCATTATGCTTCGACAACATCAACGAGTTATCACTAGTTTACAACCACATGTGCAGTCGCTAAATGAACATGCACACAACACTAAGTGTGCTGAATAGAAGTAAGAAGACGGCTTGAACAGGAATGTTGTGATTGCGCATTCCAGCTGAATACCATCCAGGCGAGCTCCCGTACCCACCTGATCCACCGTATGTATTCGGAGTTCCTGAATCACATGATAAGTATCCCTGTTTCCACAGCCGCAAATCGCTCTTTGTTAATAAACGACAGAAAAAGATTTTTTTAAACTAATAACATACAGATAGATCAAATTATAGAGGTCACATTAAAATGTGTCCAAAGAAAACTGTGACGAAACATGAAGATTATGCTGGGAAAGATGCGCACGGTCTTGCTCAACGAAGTTAAGCATGAAAAAGCTCTTAGTGGATTCGAGAAAGCAGTACCCCAAGTCCACATTGAAACGGGCCGGCATTTGCAGTTAATGTTTCGACATGCGATGATGGTTTTGCTGAGAAGCTTGTGGCTTTTTCGTACAAGGAAGAGTCGATGTTAGATGATCCCGAATCTTGAAAGAAGGCACCGTTCAAGAACATGTCATCAGATGACCTCCAGTTCCAGTTCTCCCAACCCCCGAAATCGTTGCCTCCATCAGCCACACGCTTGGTCACCTGAGACCATGTAGTGTTTTAGTTCAAGTATCGCCAAGTTTATCATCCAATTGTAAGACGTACTTAATTACCTTTCATCACCTTCCTTCGGATAAATACTATCTGTTTCAAGGTCGCTTACAGCACTCTCAAGTTTCCATATGTGAATCGCGCCAGCGAAATGTCGAAGTCCAAGCAATTGTCACTCACAAAGAGCCACATCTATTTTGTGCCCTGTCAGGTCTAGTGCAGCTGTCTGACCTCTTTGGAGTTGTTATTGTCAGAGGCCTTGAAACGATTGCCTTCGCTGAGAATGGTGGGATTTTGGCTACCCCCAATGGCATACATTTTCCAATCCAGGTAATCATTGTTGAAGACGTGAAAATAACCAAAACGACATCTGCAAAAGCAACGTGGTTTATGATACTTTCTTGTAACCTCAAGCTGATGGTCAAATTAAACTTTCCATCCAAACATTTCAAGTCTAAAACAGAAGTTTAATGGTTGCCTGCTGCACAAAGTTTGTTGCCATTTGAGATGAAGAATCCTGAAGGACTACAGAGAGATACCTCGGCATACGCTGTGTAAGGCCTGTTCCGAAATGATTGTAAGCTACTGTGACCTGCATAACTGTGTCGAAGGTGTCCTCTGGATGCGCTCCAAATAGCATCACCTGTGCCATTGTGCTCATTAAGTTAATATCTTCTCTACTTCGTGACATGATATCAGTAGCGTCATTAAATGAAGCTCCAAGTATCAAAATCACGTGCATCTTGCTGATTCAAATTAATCTGATAGATAATAAGAGAATACGTGGTGGTAAAAATCTATCAGGTACCTTGTCATGGTTGGTGAAGTAGCTATTAGAAACGGTGATGAAAGTTGATGCTTCTATAGCACTAATCAAATTGGTGGTGCAATCCGAGAGATACAAATGATCTAACCAAACATTTGTTCCTGCAAAGATGCTGATTGCACTCCCATCCGACCGTAGCCTATGACCATAGTGCGCAGGAGAGTCTCTCACCATGGCGGGACCTGTCGGTACAAGGTTGAACATTCGAATGCCATGAATGATAATGTTGGATATACCTTGAATGGTTATCCCCGCTCCTCCTGAAATCTGTACATTGTACCCTCTTCCATCAATGGTTTTGTAGCTGTTCATGATCAATTCCTGTGTGAGCGCGATACTTGTATCTTGTGAGAAGATGATCCACAGGGGCTCTGTCTGTATGGCAGCCCAACGCAATGTTCCATAACTTGGATTCACCACATCGTCATCACTGTCATTCGTCACCACATACAGTGACCCATGTTTGCCACCCACAGCATTTTTCCCGAACCCAATTGCGCAGTCAGCGAGAGATTGACGATTGGTTTCCCATGAGCTGTCGCATCTCCAGCAATCGTCAATGGAATTGCCAGTTTGACAAGCACTTGTCGCAAGTTGCCGACGTACCTCACTTCCCTGCATTTTTCCTCTGCATGCGAAGCGATTAGACAGACTCAGAACATAACTCTCAACTTGATAGGCATCGTTTTTACATTCGAGGTTCACATTAGTTCACCGAAAGAAAAGGCATATTGACCATGTGCGAGAATTAATGCAAAGAATTAGACCATGAGAAGGAGGTTTTTGTCCAGTAGAAATTGCTGTTAACAAAAAACACAAGGCCATACTAACCTTCCCTGGTTAGGAAAATTTCTTTCACGTTAGTACAATCAACACGGTAATCGCAACAATCAAGTCTATGAATATTGAAAAAAACATCAAGCATCTGGTACGCTTACCCAAACCTCAGCTTGTTTTTCAACGCATCCTAAATGGTAGAACTTTCAGTGGGTATCCAGAATTCCGTGGTTGTTGCGCGTGAGACTCTTAAAATGTGCAGAATCGGTGAGAAAGTGTGCCAATAATACGGCAGCAAATTATGGACTGCAAACTAATGACTCACGCAACTGAGCCTAATTCAATGGACGTGTAACTCGAGTTCACGATTAACTCCTTGGCTATTAACTCTCTACTGACTGATCCAGACGTGTCGATCACCTCGAATGCAAAAATGCGAGGGACATCACAAATTCTGCGCTGAGATGATTTCAAGGGAACAGAAATTTAAATGTAGGGTTCACACGAAAGTAGAATGTACCTTTCATTGAAGTGTGCTTTAACCTGCTCCTCGGCTCCAAGTTCGGTTTTTCCATGTGTGTGAAGCTTGTTGACGCTTCCCTCCGTGGAGGTTGCATGATGCAGCTGGGGAACTATTGATAGAGACGCCAAACAAACTAAGATCAGCTCCCCGGTTATGGAAGTTCTTCGACCTTCCCTCATTGCGTCAATTAAGCTTAACAATTTCCTGCACTAGCGTATAAGAAGCAAGTCCAGGGACTCGTACATTTCTTCAATGATACATGTCATAGACTGAGCATTCCAGTGGCAAAAACGCCAGCGATTCTGGAAGTGCCCACAGCGTAGTCACTACTATGTCAAGCGCCATAGAAAGCTTACACCGAGTGCGGTAACTTCTTGGAAGAAATGGATATTCTGTCACCGACTGGACCCAGCTGCACACCTAATGACGCGTCTATGAACCGTATATCGGCGCAGGGTGCTCAAAACCTTCCACTAAACCCACACGTGTGCCGGAATAGAGAAAGTGGACGGTGGCTGGAAGAGCATGTGGACTTTGCCTCCAAGCGCCCCCTTCTAACTCTCAACCGCATAGTGACTCCTTGCGATAGCTCACAAACACTTGCATCATCTTAAGTAACATTCTAGAAAGAAAATTCCACACCTCATGCCAAGTAAACTTGGAAACTAGTTTGAAGAGGACGAACTAGCTTCACAAACCAACTGCACTTCTGCTTGAGACAAAATACTAGAGATATTTCCAGGAAGAAACTAAACGTAGGTAAGCCAGCGCAATGATTCTCCTTGGGAACACAACGCAATTCAAGCTGCACTTGCAGTCTCCTCATAAGCACCGCTGAAGACAATGGGAACTGAAAGCTAGCATCCTCAGGTCAAATCACCTTACATCTGCATCGAAAATGAACCTGTCATGGACCACTGGCACCAGACACAACATCTCTAGGGAAGTACAATCCACCCCAGCCAATTACACTTCATCGCTTGGTTTCGATTTCAATTGTCTCATTCGAACTCAACGTTTTCCAACTCTGATGCCCTAAACTAATGCAACAATACTCGGAAGGCCAATGAGTTGTTCAACTTGGTACCAAAAGGCCTCACTCGCCACCTAAAAAAAAATATGTAAAAGATAATCGAAAGCATCGTAGAAGGTGACAGCACCTCGAAACGATCAGAGCATGAGACGATGATCACTTCACAGAGGCACTGTAGCGATGAGTTAGCTATTATTGCAATCGCTTATACCCTCGGTTGCAGCAACAACTCGACTCCATTGTGAGTGGCTCCAAAGCGGCGACTAAGTTAGAACGGGACAAGTGGTGAGACAGACCCCCCCCCCCCCCCCCTCCCCCTTACTCTCTGATTCTCCCCTGTCAGAGTGGAATGATTCACTCACTAGCCATGGACAATAATTTGCCAACGCTATGGTTGGATTGTTAGCATGACCTAAAACATGATCCTGCAGCAGCAGAAGCAGCTGCTGTCACGGTTCCTTCGAGCTCCGTTCGAGATTGTGCAAATGGAATGCGGTGCTGTCGAACTGCGGACGCCATCGTTTGTTTGTACTATGGAACCCGATCCCGCCCCCCTCTATCAGTTCCAGGTCAGCATCCCTGCGTGAAATTTGCTGACGTGGACAGCACCCCTGGTGAAGCTTGCTGATGTGGACAGCGCATCAATTCACCCGGGGTAAGACTTCCCTGGTGGAGCAACACATGTGTAAATTGTAAATATTTACCAACTACTTGCAAAATCAATGACAGTGTTGTAGGGTAATTAGTTCGGAGCTTTTGAGATTTACTTGTAAATATATTGACAACAAGTCCATCTCAAATATCATGCAATGTTCACAACAAAGGTCCATTCACTTTACTGTAGTAACTTCAGGACCTTTTCAAAAAAAATTAAAAAAATTAATTTAATTTAAAAAAAAAAAAAAAAAAAAAAAAAACTTTGCACTTTGTGCTCTCCTCTTTTATTTTGTTTGTTTTCTTTCTCTTACACATCAAAAGTGTTTTATTTTATGTAATTGGGCTGGGAGTTTTAATTACTAGTTGAACATTCTTCTAATTGAATGGTGTATGATTTGTCTCTAACTATTACTGTATTTGCTGATGCAACGATTTTTGTAGATTATCACATGTCAATTATAACTAATGAAATAAGAAAAATATTTGTGAAGCTTTGACTATTTTACACTTAAAAACTAATTTGGATAATTCAATTTATAACCTTATCAAAAATATATTTATGAAATTAAAAAATAGAAAACAAAATCAATATTTTTTAATTAGGTATTTTTCCAATTTGTAAATCTATAAAACAATTAATTTGATGAAATCAAAAAGATGTCATTGTTATAATAATAATAATAATAATAATAAATGGTTAAATTTATGGTTACAAGTTATTTTAATACAGGTAGGATTTTGAGAAAATTTCCTAGTCTAATGACCATTTGAAAAAACACTATTGCATTATAGAAGATTGAATAAAATTTCATTCTTCCAATATTTTGAGAATTATAAATTTTTTATACTTAAATTATCAATGATTAAAATTTTTATAACATGAAATACATCATCTAAGAAAAACAGTTTACTTTTTATATTAAAGTAAAACAGATGTATCTCTACTAAAAAAAAATATTAACATATATCTAAGTGTATGTCTTGTACAGCTCATTCTTGTTAGATTTTATTTATAGTTATTTACAGGAGAATATATAATTTGATTTATCAAAAATATAATTATATTATGTTATTCGAATAATAAAATAAAAATGTAATATTTAATATTTTATTAAATTCTGTAATGCCATCAAGATCAAACTTATCAAAGAAATTAATAAGAAAATTTGAAATTATAGAATTACTATGATTCCTAATAATACCATAAAGGCTCAAAATGGTGAAATTGACTACATCAATATTTTATTTTATTTTATTTTACTCTTTATCAGAAGAAAAAAACAATACTTCATGAATAAAAGTCAAAAGTACTACATTAACAATAAAAATGCTTTTCTTTTATGTGTTTGATTCTATCCTTGGAAAACAAAGTAATCAATTATTTATATTAATTTTTAATGAACAAGTATTAAAAAGCCCAAGCTTCAATTAGAAGTAGGATTCAAAAACTTATTAAAATGCTTGAACTATGCACACTGCTGAATAATAATAATAATAATAATAATAATACTATGCTATTGTTGTAATCTATTTTCTGTTAAGTGCTCTGAATGCAAGCATCCTTCTCACAAACACAGACTAGTGACGTTAAGGGTTCCTCCACAAAGATGAAAAAAGACAAAGAAAATATGATGATAAAAAATTATAGATCTAAATTATTGGTAGAAGATAAATATCAAGAGACATATATAAAAAATTAAACTGTAACAGTTGAATAGGATGTGACTCCGATTTGTTGTTCAATTTAAATTCTACTTATCAAATCGACTTTTATTCTTTCTACAATCCTGTTTTGAACACTGTAGTTATTTACTTTTCTGTGTGAGAGAGTGTGTGTGTATATATATATATATATATGTGTGTGTGTGTGTGTGTGTGTATGTATGTATTTGTACAATTTCAATCTTATGGTATTCTATTAATTTTTAAATTTTATTTCTTCTTCAAAACATGATAATAAATGATATTTGCAATGTGAAATCTAAAATTTTATAATTAATGATATATAGATATAATATCTAATTATGAAAAGTTTATAATTTTGCTTAAACACAGTAAAATATATTACATGGCTCTGAAGTCATACTAAATATAAATACAATCTCAGACAGGAAAAATTGAATACATTTGAAATTGCTCAATGACAAATGAAAAGTAAAGAAAATATATATATATATATATATATATGCACATACACATATACATACATACATTTTTTAATCAATTGTAAACTCTGTATTTTGAATTTTAGAAATTATTTCATTACTAAAACATCAGTACTTTAAATGTAGAAACACAAGAAGATAAATTCACCTGTAATTTAGAACTTTTGATTAATATTGTATATAAGGAATATATTAAATGGAATATACTAACCTCATCCCTATTTTACAAGTTTTTATCAATTATAGTCTTCTTATTTTTTTGAATCTGTAACTTTTTAATAAATGTTTGTACATCTAATTTTTAAAATTGTGTTACTGGATTTGATAAACGTTTTTTTTATTTGATTTCATGCAATTATAAAAATTCCACTCAAAATGCATTTAAATGTTTTTCTTTGATTAAGTTATTTTGTTGCATGTATATAGATATAGACCATTGTTCATTATATATATATATTGTGATAGTTTACAAGTAATAATAAATTTAATAATAATTTACCACTTAGTGCGTCACATTGGAGTGCGTGCAAAATTCTATCTTGTACACAAAACGCTCATTAAAAATAATAATAAAAAATAACTATCAATCAAATCGACTAACATGACAAGCGGCTGAGTTGTATTATGTCAACTAATCCAAAACACAAAACACGAGAATCTCAACAACAGAATGATCGCAATGAAGAACGACGATGCAACGTTGGCTTGAACACGACGCGGAAGAGAAAGATACAAAGGCCAGTTCAAACACAAACATGGCGATGGGGTGTGTAATCACAGCGCAACGATGTGCAGTTGCATTCAACTTGGTCGACGACGGCGCAAAGCAGAACGAAACATACTCCAGTTCGGAGTGTGCAGATGTGCGGAAATGTGTGGTTTCTTCGGAGCATCGGAGTTTCTTCGGAGGCAGATTCGAATGGGCGAAGGGAGTGAGGCAATTGCGATGAGGGAGGGAAGGGGAGCACTGGGATTCCTGCAAAGCGGGCTTCGGCGCCGAGTGAGGCTCCGTCATAACCCGAGGCGCGCTGCATGCGAATTCCGATCCTCCTGCGTGTCCATCGGATGCTCTTGAGTGCAAGGCATGAAAGCAGGTCGGGATTGCACGTTCTTCATCAGCATTCCCGCTGGATAGTCCCCGCTCTGCTGCCAGTGGACAAGAAAAGCCGAATACAATGGCAGGTTTTTCGGCGCATTCGCAGTAGGTCACTGCTTCCAGATCCAATCAGCTTATAAATTCTACGTTGGATGATGATGATATTTTAGTGTTGTGCATTAATACACTCCCCGAGCCTCAACAGTCATCGAAGGAGGGGCAGGGAAGATGATGCCTGGCACAGGATTAGGAAAACGTTCCGAAGCCGTGTGAGGGCAATTTTAGAATCCGAGATCCACCTCGTCGGTTTGCTGTGTTCGCTGTGACTCGTTGTGGATCTCAGCGCGCGCAAGTATTGCACGTTGTGCAGGCTGTGTAGCTCGAAACTTGTTTGTCCCTGCCCCTCCTCATTCACTTGCCTCATCACAGTGTTTTATGTAACGTGTGTAGGTGCTGCTACCATGGCCTTCAAGGCAGTTTTCCTTCTGGTTGCTCTTCTAGCGGCTGTGTCCGCTGTGGCTGAAGCGCACGAGGAAAAGTCGGACAGATTTTCACTCAAGATCATCTTGCACAACACTGCTAGCAGAGATGTGAGCTTCAAACTGGTCAATCTTGGGAAGCACGCTTATGACACTGTGGTAGGGAAGGGGGATCAGTGGTCTGCCATAGGTCCCGTCATCGTCAACCTTAAGTTCCCGGTTATGCGTTTGGCGGTGAGTGTTACCAACAAGAGCTACGTTTTAAGGAAGAAGCTCCTGAAGATCGACTTGGAGAGGCGTTTCGGCAGAGATTATCTTAAGGGCAAGAAGTTCATTGTTCTAACTGCTCAAGAGAGCTGGAAAAAAGAGTTCCTCTTCATTAAGCTTGGCCGCGACATTGTCCAAAGAATTAAGCTGTAGATTCGCAGGTATGATATTCGTTTGAGTAATAGTAGCACCTTTCCCAATAGATTTGGGATTAGCGGCATATTTTTTTTTATCCTCTAGGTCAGCGGTCAAGTTGCAACGTCGTGATGTGGTACTTGCACCGCGTTGGTGCTTCTTCCTTTGACGACATGATACGAGTCTTCATTGGTGTTGCTTATCCTCTCTAAGTTACCACATTGTTTTGGTTAAACTTGCAGGAACGTTGCGTCTGCAGCAGGCATGTGACCGGGTGTCCCCCTTGCTAAAATATCGCGAGTTTTCAGGTCTTCACATATTCTTTTCTCATCGAGCAATACTGATTTGTGCATTTAGATCATTCATTCAATTGCTTATTGAGAGCCTATTCTTTATAACGTCAAGCTACTGTGCCTGCACTTTTGGGCCGGCCGACTTGATTGCTGTTGTAACAGCACTGGTTAGCGTGTTCTTGTTCTATTCGAAGTTATAGAATATACTGTTAGCTTTTCATTTTAGTTCATTGTATCTTCTTGGAGACCATGTGTTGTGAAATCGAATTGAATAAACCCACGCTTTTCAGTGTCTCTAGTGTAAGTAGTTTTTCTGGAGAGTTCTTTCCATTATTGTATATTAGGGATTTAATTTAAGATAGCAGCGTTCTAGCAGACGAAGATAATCTCCATTGTCAGCCCCTTGTATTGAATCCATTCATCATTTACTGCGACACTGATAGACGATTCTTATTGTTGCTTTTAAAGTGTCCATTGTCTCGTCCTATTCGTTCCATTATCAAATTTTGTCATTGTATTTTTGCTCGAAGAGTCTTTCTCTAAGGCCATTCAGCTTCGCCGTGACAGCACGCCTATCCTTAACGCCATCGAAATAGCAGATAGAGCATATCTACTGGAAACAAACCGTTTTCAGCCTTGCCTCAGGTCGTAAATGCATGGCGGACAACGCACGACCGTAAGTCAAAACTCTAGAAAACCGGCAATACTCTCTTTACGTAAATCTTATGGATCCACACATATTCCAGGAAATTTACATAGATCGTCTGTACAAGACGCACTGGTTCCCTTAGCCAATGCTCAAATGTTGAACCGAAATCAAAACGTTGCCACCTTCATACTATTTCCTCCTCGCCGAAATCTGCAACCATACATATCGGGTGGAAACACATTCAAATAGTTCACACTTCCTAATTTGCCTGCACTTGTTCGTGGGCTATGTGCAGAAATCAACACAAGTTTCTGGACGATAAACCTAGTAGGGTGTGCGGCGACATGAGTACTTGGATTACAATTGCTGTAATAGAAAGAATTCATAATGATATCAAGAACATTTAACCTATCATTTTATGTTATTAAAAATAGACGATTTTAAAGATTTCTAGATACAAAATTTATTTATTTTTATTAAAAAGACAATAGTGGAACTTTTGTAGATTAGAGTAAAAAATAGATGATTAAATATTTTAAATATTGAATAAAATATTTGTATTGAATAAATACCTATGAATAAATTAATACAAGTAGAAATAACCTTAGTAAGTAATATGTTTTTGTAAAATATTGTGGATATTTTAAAAATGTTAAATCTCCAAGCATTCATGAATGTGTTATGTGGTTATAAAAATATAAATTTTGTAAATCCTACATACTACTACAAGTGTATCTATCAATGATATGATTTTAATCGGACTTCATGAAAGATAATATATTTATGTATAATCAATAAGAAACAAAGATAATCAAAAATACATATGTTAATAAGATTAGGAGGTAGAAAAGGGGCTACTGCCAATAATATTGAGATGATAAAGATTTAAATTCAAATTAGAATGATCATAAGATTAAATCATAATTATCAAAGTTTAAATCTATAATTATGTGCTAATTAAATTTTGAATATTATTTCTAAAATTATACATTTAATAGATATTTGAAAACAAAATTTAATTATTCAAAAATTAAACGAGAAATATATGTATGTACATATATATATATATATATATATATATATATGAAAATTACAGCTTTATATTCTATTTTTAAATTAAGATTTTTTTTTATATTTTTTATTAAAGGATATTTGAATTGTATAAACTATTAAGTTTCCTAGATACCTATGCTAAGAAGAGTAGTAAAAATATATAAAAATAATTTTGTAATATAATGTTTTAAGAAAAATTACAAATATTTAATAGACAAAAATAGATCTATAGGTGTTTTAAGTTATTACAGTAAAACATTTAAGAAGTTTTATACATTTAGGAAGTCAAAATAGATGCATCTTACAATTGAGATGCTTAACTTCTGTGCCTTGTGATTTATAGAAAGTTTTTGAGAAATCTTAATCCAAGCTAGTATATAAAGAGACAAGAGTGAAGCCATTATCTATTTAATCAATGCTTTTTCATTCTCCACTCTTGATTCCACTTATTCTAGTTTTCATACTTGACAATACTCATTTTTTTACATTTTTTTCATACAAATTTTAAATTTAAATATATCTAGATATATTTTTTTCATTAAATTTATTTAAATACATGTCCTTAACAACAAATGTGTTAAAATACATGCAAAATTGTTGCCTTAGCAGATGAGAGAAATCCATCTATATATAAATTTACTCCTTCACACATCTCTACCTAACTAATTTGCAATCCACCATGCTTTTTTTTCTACTTGACATTATCAAATGTGCCTTTGAATATTGAGATTATCTTTTAATTTATACTATTTTATTTTAACTAATAGAACCAGAGTGAAAATTTTGAACTAACAATATATTCTTATGCCTATTTATATCATTTCTTTTATTGAATTTCAAACGTAGCATCACTACTAGAAGGTGGATCATGATCTTCTTGAGGGATTGTTTGCTGGTTTGGCAAGCGACACACTGAGCTGGTGCTTCATAGTAGACGAGTTGCTTGGTTGCAGGGAAAATCCAAGGTTGTGAAACTTATTAGCTGCATCTTACGGCATATCAATAGCTGGAAAATTTAAGAGAAGCAAGTCTGGATTTTAACCAAAACACTTAACCATTTCACTTCCCTTGTCACAAATGGACAATCAAGCTGCAACAATTGAGTGAGAAAGGAACTACTTTATTGCAGACAAAAAAAAAATTCTCTCCGTCCACACAAAAATGCCTCTTGTGGCAAATCCAAATTCCAAATGCTGTGAACCTCGAAGCTATCTTGAAAAGTTGGACTGCCTGACTTTGCAAAAGCTGTAACAAGAGCCGTAATCACCCTGGAAAATATATAGAACGGTAGTCAGACGCATAAGTTTTAGGTTATATTATCTCCCGGTGGGTGCAGTACTCAGATTTGACCCAAGTCCTCTACCTCTTCGCCACAAAGAATTTCTTCACAACCAGTTAAGGGCGACGAGTAAATTTATACAGCAGCATCTCAAACCTTCGCTCTCATTCCTAGATAATGAGCCCAAGGTAGTTTTGTTATAACTTCTGAAAGTTCTGACTCACCACCGCTATCACTAACTTGCAGTCCATGCCTCTCGCTTATCCACAAAACAAGAACATCATCATCAGAAGGGAAGTCTTGGTCCTTTGGGACAGCCTCGAATGCGAGCTTCTCAGCCGAAAGCCCAATGCTAGAAAGTGACTTTTTCGTAAAAGCGTATCCTTCAGCTTCATACAGCACAATTAAGAGCCTCTTTTCCAGTTGATGAGCAGCTGCAATCATCTCCAAATCAAGCAGTATTTCATTAGTTACTAATGCACATAATAAATTCTTTGTTCAGAAGAAGGAATTTAACGAAATTTGTAGCAAATTGCTTTTCATCCTGAATCATCCTTCCTTGCGATAATCCTAGGTAAATGCTGATGTACAAACTCATTCTGATACAAGCTTAGCATGCTTAGACTCACCGAGGTCCTGTGCAACCTCCACTTGTCTCGTGAACTCTCCTCCACCTCCGAACAAGGCAAACTTCCGAGAACTACCCAAAGTCAATGGCACCAGCATGAACATGCAATTTGTACCTGAAAAAACGTTGGGAAAGCATAAACATGAGTACCTACTATTTAAAATAGCGTCTTAGATAGAGAATGTTTTTAGAAGAACACGGATTCTCAACATTATCAACAGTGATTCTTCCGATACAATTACATGCCTAATATTCACTTGTTGATCTTGTCAGAATGCACATGGTTTGGAGGGGACTTTAGCATGCTAAAGACATACATAACATGCTTTGCTAGAAATTTTAGAGCTGGTCTATCAGATTCTCATCATCCTGAATAGCCACATCTGAGGATCTTAGCGCAATTCATGAATGTGAGGACCAACCATCAGCAGTGCTCGAGTCCGGACATGTGAGAATACTCGAAAGATCACTCCTATTCTCCTCAAACCATGTGGAAAGCACTCTATAAGCTTCTTCACTACTTAATACTTGTGGATAGGAACCAAGCATGGCTGTACTCAGCTTGGAATTTTGTTGACCTCTCTCACCCTTCACGGTTGCTGCATTCTCAAATAAAGGATTACAATATCAAATATTAGTATACAATCTTGCAAGTGCATCAAAAGAACTACAATATCCATTTTTAAAGAAAAAAGTGCAAACACACAAAGTTACCGTGCACTTACAAACAACCCAAACCCCAAGAGCTGCAGCAAGCCCAAGGCATAGGATGCCGGATAACACCAGCAATGTAGATAATATTCTGACCAACCGCCTTAGCTGATCCACTTGCGCATCATCCACTTCGGGCCCAGTCTCGACAACAGCGTGAGCTTGAGCTCTTTCAAATCTATGACCACCCTTTCCAAATTCAAGTAGACATTAATAAGTACCGACTGATGAGTAACAACAGAAAAAAGCAGTGAAGTTCAGTCGAGTATGAAGATGGCATGGCCATATACTTTTGCATACCAGGACAAAAAGAAACACCCAAACATCCGAAAATCTGCAAGATAAATTTATTCGAGAGAGTATACATAGAATGTCGCTGGGCTGCATACCTGCAATTACCAAGTCTTTCCTCTAACGATCTCACTCGAGTTTGGTGCTCAGTGAGTGAGTATTCACAGGAACCGACCTGAATTTTCTCTTCCGAGTGTTGATTGATTGGCTCTTCCTTCTGCACACCAAGCTTCGCTGCATAGAAATCTCGCTCCGCTTCGCACAAGGCAAGCACTGCTTGTTTCTGATAAGTACACTCCTCTGCACCAATCATCGCTTGACGCATGGCTTGACAATGCGCCAGGTCCGCAGCCACAGCATTTCTCTCTGCACTGTGCTTTACTCGTAGCGAAAGTTCTTTCTCCACGCATGAACGCCGCAGCTCTAACTTCTCCTCCAAAAATTGAAGCCGTAGTTGCGAATCTGCATCCCTCCATTCTTTTTCTTTCTCTACTAGAGCCCCTTGGCAGCTAAGAATTTCTCTCTTCAGCACAGACATATCAGCCTCAAGCTCCAGAACACGCCTTGCTGCGTCTTGGATTGTGTCATTGCACCAGGAGTTGAGCACGCTGCGAGAAACTTGTGACGCTTTGTGCCCTGTACATATGAGCACCAAGTCTCGAACGGTACTCTCAGCCACATTCAATATAAATCATGACTCAACTTACAACTCAACTCATCAACACTCTGAACACACGAGGTCATCATCCAAAATAGGTCACCCGTAAATAGGAACATTATTTGAACCACAACTGGCTGATAGAGTGATAGGTTTGTCGTATAACTCAGTACCATGAACAAAGGATGCTAGCAAGCTTAGAATATATTACTGCTTGATCATTTTTTTACTTCTCACAACTCCTCTCTAATGTATTTAAACGATCATTGCGAATGATCCCATTCCAATTCTAAGCACGACCTCTCAAAATCAACGCAATTCACATCCACTACTAAAACAGAGTCATTGCAGCCCAGTCACAACACTGACATACATGAATATTTATTGAGAAACGAACGATTCGCGCAAACATCCGACTCCACAATGACCATCCAAAAGGACAGTAAAAACGATAAGAAGCAAGAAAAATGTGTATGAAATCAAAACACACAAGAACCAGTACTATGCAACAAAAATAAAATAAAAATGAAGATGGTGCATCACGTTCTTCCTGTATGTGAGATCGCACAAGGAAAAATCCCCTGACACTTACCAGGGTTCCACATGCGAGCATCGGAGAGCCAATTTGAGGAAGAATCGTCCACATTGCACGCTTCTTCCTCCCCTTTGTTGCATGTTTGTACTCCTCTGCCCAAAGCTGTAGTTGTGCACACTGCGAAGAAGACACAAAGGAAAAGAAATTGTGGGCTTGAATGCTTGCTCCCCACTCTTGAGTAGTAACCCCAATTAGCCATTGCTTGCTTGGACGACAGTGTAATCAGTCGATCATGCGCATCAACAACGCAGGGGCGACACAAAATTGCAAAATTAACTCCAGTCCCGAGCTCCACCAAAGCTTCACTCCCAGAACCATATATCCGGACCTTTTAATTCTATGATACCCGTTTATATACATGCCACCGCCTCGGGGTACACATTTACCTAGTTCCGGGTAGGTTTCAGTATTGATGCCCGCTTGAGTCGATATATACCCCGTGATACTCAGGGCTTCGTGAAAACCTCTCGGTCCTGCTGTTCCTAAATAAATCACAACAGCAAATATCTCATATATCAATTTCTCTAAACAAACTATTTTTTTTTGGCAGTTATAGAATTTCGGTTCAATTTTAAAAAAACTTTACAACCACAGAGCCACATCTCAAGACTTAGTAGTCTCTTTATTTACGGTCCTACTGTTTCTAAAATAATCAGTTTTATTTAATCAAACTTGTGTAATAAATTTTCACAAGAGATAGTTGATCGTTATATAATCAAAATTTTTATTTCTATTTATACATATACTCTTATACTTATTCTGATTGACGTGTCCAACTTACCACTATAAAAATATACCCTAAACTCGTCTATCTTGACTCAAGAAAGAAGATATGTTCTTTGAGTTCATACTCACTAAAGAGTTATTTTTTGAAAAAAGATCAATTATGAAATGAGTTGTTGTTTATTAATTTTTTTATGAAGCCTTCAGGTTTTTATAAAATTATTACATGACTGCTTTTTATTAGCTAATATGTATAGAAGTAAAACTAAAGGAGGACACAACTTTTTAGACTTGTTTTGAAGGGAACTATTAAATAGTGGTACCTCCCATCAAAGCAAGCAAGTTTTGAACATAGTTTGTGAGCAGCTCAAGCGTTGGTGCCAGGTCTGGGCACTGGCAAAGCTGTAAATAATTTAACCCCTTTTCGTATCATCCTGGCCATTGTTAGTGCTTAGTTCAGACATGGTTACTGGTTTGATAAAGAGGTATCCATGAACTACGAGTCGAACTCCTAATGCACAAAGAACAGGGAAGAGCAGTTTGTGCAGCTGAGGCAGAGCGATTGCATCTCTGGGCAGAAGGGCAAAAGACGCCTCCAGGGATAGCAGCAATGGAGATGTATCCCAGTGGAACATATTTTACAAATGCAATTCCTCCTTTGAATGAGCCTGTCTTGCAGTCTTGGAGCCTCCTGAATCATACGTGTATCCAATTAACCTGAAATCTTCAGGTTTACATGTAGGGTTCAAATCGTGAGTCGCGTTGTGCTTTGTGCGCAGCGCCATTGTTCTTTCCGGTGATCAGATGGGAGAAGGACAATATAGACACATCTTAATTGTATTCCTACATCCAATTGTCTTCCTCTCATAATGCTGGCCGAAAATTGCTACCACAAAATACGCCCAGGTCTATGCACTCACTGTTGATTCAAAACTGAGTGATATGTTTCTGAACCATGTATCATATTTGTTGTAACCGGTTCAAAACCGGCTCAAAACCATCGCTTAAGTACATTGCAGATAGATTAAAACGGAGCTCTTCCACTCACCCCAGGCCTATATCAATCTGGAGCGTATTGAAAGTTGAAAATCCATACAGGAGCTTAGGGGTCCTACAGAAATCGGGAGACTCCTTGCAAATGTTACATGTTGAAAATCAGATACAAATAACACTGTCCAAAATATATAACCCTGTTAACGACCAATAGTTCGCGGGACCCCAAGGTCAGATCTGTCGTGTGTATTATCTTCCACTACGACCATAACAGGCTCCATGATAGCTTTCACTTATCTGCAGCCTTCCCACACGAAGAGCCGGGAGTTTACCGATTCTAATTCTTGGCAAGCCTCTTCAGCCGTTGGAAAGCCTGCTGCTTGATCCAGGATCGATCGAAAGGTGCATAAGCTAGAATGGCTGGATCAAACCTGCAGCAAGGGTTCAAAGGCATATGCCGATCAACTTCCGCTATCACAGAAATAACTTCAGCTGAAAATTTCAACACGTTGCAGAGCTGGAAGGAGGAGTGATATAAACCTACGGAGAATTTCTGGTTAGAGCACGATAAATTTTAAGGTATTAACACCACAAAAGACCTTCTTAAGAAATCTTGCATTAAAAGAGCGGTTCAATTAATTCCTCGCATTTCCACATCACGATGCAGCAAAGAACGGAATAGAGAAAGCGAAGACGCTTACACAAGGGCGCTCAGGTCAGTGAGAGCTTCAATATATTTGTACAAGTCGGACACGTCGTAAGTGATATTCCGTAGATTAGGATTTGCCTCTTTCAACCTCTTTTCAAATTGTCCACAAATACCTGCTCAGAAAATTGCAAAAGCGAACAACGCCAATAAAAATAAAAATAAAAACTGTCAACAGCATACTCCGTAGCGGAGCAATTTTTGTGAAGTTCAACTCAACGATAAATACTTACAAAAATCTAGGCATACACACTGAACTAAGAATCGAAGATTAAAGATTGAAAATCTCGATATATCTTGCAGGAGGAGGCATTTGAGAGGAATCAAGTACCATCCATAGCAGCTGGGACAGACTCGTAGTCCATGAAGGTGCGAGTTGCCCGGTTAGTAGTAGGTTGAATCAAGATAATCGTATGCCTCTGCGCCTGCATGATTCATGACAAGTCAACAAGCTCAAAGACCAATTCAAGCAACCGAAAATTGAACCCAGACAGTGATTCTCTAGTCCGATTTACCAATGCAACACAACCCGGACACGGTAACAAAACCCTAATATCCCACGTGCAGTACCGGCACCACCAATCACGCCATTTCTTATTTTTTAAACTCCCGGCACAAACTCCACACTCCACACTCCCGACCTCCAACATCGAATCCCTGCCTTCAAAGAGCCACGAGATGAAGAAAGAAGCAACCAAACCAAATGCACACACTCCACGCCTCCACTTGCGCAAAGCAAGCGGGACTGTTATGTCGCGTGAAACGAAAATCACGAGCAAGAGCATAGAAAACGAGAGCCAATTTGCACATACCATGCCGATAGCGGATGCAGCGACGAGAAATGAACTAAGGAATGGCGAGAGCGGGACGAGGAGGGAAGGGCGAGGGCGAGGGCGAGGCGAGGATGCGAATTGGAGTCAGGCACGAAGTGGAAAGAGAGGCGGAAACTGGCTATGTCGTCGAAGAGGCTCTCTCTCGCTCTCATCGGAGAAGAAGCCGCGGCGTCGACCACCCGGCCCTCGCTCGCTCTATTCTGAGGTGGGCCATGCACCACTTCCCTCTACCGCCAACGAATGAATAATGCCTTGGACGGATGTTGAAACTGCGGTTCACGGATGGATGAATAGCTTTTCGTCGCTTCAAGTGAATTTACTGTGGGTGGTGATTTAGTCTTTGTGGGATATTTCTGCGGGTTCGTTTGAGCCACACTGTGTTGGACTCTTTTTTGTGAAGTTCTCTGCTACATAAATGATGTGATAGTCCTGTTATATTGTGGCCTGAAATTGTGGCAGAACTGTTGGAGGGCCAAACCATCAAAGATCAACCTGACCTTGCTGGTCAAGTCTTTCAATTAAAATTGAGGGCTATCCTGAAAGGTGTACATGAAGAGGCATTTGGTGAAGTTGTGGCTAAGTTGTGGGTGATTGAGTCTCCTATATATGCACATTTTGATCATATTGGAGGAACATAGTAAGTTGAGAATGCCATAAGAGTTTGACTCTTTGGTGTTCATTGAATTGTAAGACCCTCTTTTGCATCCAAGAGCATATGAGGCAATAATAAGTTGTATGCTCCTTAGACCATGTGGCATTGAGAAACCAAATGCCTTGTGCATGATTGATAGATGTTCCAGGAAGCAATATCCATAGATGTTTAATATAGAAATAAGATGCAATGAAGATGTATATCCAATTTATCAATGCCCAGATGGTCATGGTTATGATACATTCAAGGCTGCTTGTGTAGTTTTTAGCCTTTACAACTTGGATAGGGAGTGGAAGTAGTACCTTCAATAAGTGGCAGTCATGAAGACATGCAGCCAACTGTAAACTCTTTTTGTAGTTATTTTGATGCATTATATTCTTGCTAATGCAAGGGTGCTTTAGACCAACAACAAGCAAAGTCGTTTAGACAATTACGCACATCTCTTGCAAAATTAAAGATATTAATAGCCCACAAACAAGGAAGTAGAAAGCTTTGCACTTGCATTCATGGCAAAATAGTTGTAAAAATTTGATATAAGTCTTGCAAAATTCAATTTGTCAAAGGTTGTGAGGAATTTGAACATTCTATTAGGTCATTGTTTGATTAGGAAATAGCTTAAAATCAATACATATCACATACATGTGTAGGCTTAGAATAAAAACACACTTCTAACTAAAAATCAATAAGTTACATACCATAAAATAGTTGATGCATATACTATAATGGAACTAATTTTTTTATTTTTTTATTAATATTTCTAATAGTACTTAAAAAGTATTCTTGAAGAATCTTCTATTAAAATATGTTTGGACTAATAACAATGTTGCGCTTATAGTAGAATCTTGAAATATTGCTACATTGTTACTACTAAAAGGTCAATTGACACATTCAAGATTTAAGATTTCTATTCAATTAGAATTGATCTCTACTTGCAATAGTTGCAAGCAATCAAAATTAATAAGAGTATTACATTAAACAAAATTGAGTGTGTGAAATGAGGCATCAATGATGAAGAAGATAGCAATTGAAATTACAAATAGAATAATCTATAATATAAGCAATCAAAATGAATCATTTCATGACAATTTCATGTCCAAAGATTTTTGGAAATTACTTTTAATGATATCTAGTAAATGGGCTAAAGCAACAAAAAATAATACCATGTCTAATTCTTAAAAAAAAAAATGCAATATATGATTGATAGAATCACAAATATAAGCAGTAACACTCCATCTTTAAAAATATCTTTCTTGACGAAGAAACTAATTTTTGAATTTAAATATCGATCAAAAGCATCTTTTCATAAAAAATTCTAATTTATAATTTAAGCAATATATTAGAAGAGTGTGGAAGCTCTACAAGAGCAAGTAAATATGGAATAAGTGTATTAAAAAATTTAGGGCCTAAATTGATGTTAGTGCCTAATATAATTAATAGAGCTTGATCTACAACTACAACTCCTTCTAATGCTTCTTCTCATTATTGTTTTGTAATTCTGTGACCAATGATATTTAGAAAAAATAAGAACTACACAAGTCCAAAAAAGCTAATTTCTTAGCAAAATGGTTCACAAGAAAAAAAAGTGATGGATTTTTAATGCAACTGCTCAATATCTAATTGCTTGACAAAGAATGTCTTCAATCCTTTCATATGCCATTCAAGCTTTTTTCATGCTATTACTTTTATTTGCCACCATTTTTTTGGCATGCTATGTTGTGACCACTACTAATTTGAATAATATAAATTCTATCTAAAAAGAACAAAACATAGATAAAACCAATATATAAGAAATAATATATAGATATAAAAATAAATAGAAATTGACTCGATAATTGAATCATTAATCTAAATAATATGAAAGGACATAACACTCAAGGACATATCATATAATTAAACATATTAAAACTCTTAAATATCAAAAAAATTTACTATTACATCTTAAATATACTTAAATAGCTAATACTAGGATGTGTATTGAACAAAGCACCTTCTGTCAAACTTGAAAATATTTCAACATCATGCTCAAAATTATTTCACAACTAAGTAAATACATATGAATATATTATGAATTTATCAAATTCTATTCAAAAAGAGCTCAAAGATATTTAGTCAAGTATTTGACTATTAATTAGTGATCTTTGAATAAATGTGAAATATGTATAAACTATTATAAATTTGATAGAAAAAAATAGATCACCTCAAAAAAAAATTCTTCAACTTCATCCAGCTTTCATAAGATTTGTAAGATTGTGGCCAAATTATTAATTATAATGATTGTTGTGAGACTTTTAGGCCTTTGCTATAACAAAACCATGAAATATCATGTTCTAAAAAATTAAATGAAGTTAAATCAAAGAATATACAATTACTACCATTAGAGTCCATAGTTATTATCCATCATTCAAAAAAAGTAGATGAAAAATTGTATTGAGAAGAAGTAATCAATGTGTGAAGAGAGATTTGAAAGTTTATATTATAATACTATAAAATATCCAACATTGATATAATATTTATATGCAAATTTCTTAAGTGTGATTAAGTAAGCATGTATCTAACTATCACATACAAATATACATTTTTAAAGTAGCCTTTTAATTCCATGTATATATATTTTATAATATTTTCAATTAATTATGATCTATATTTATTACCTATTGCAACCACCTAGATCAGCACATGACCTTATTATCAAGGACATGAATTGAAAGAATGTACATAAATCTAAAAAACTTGTATTAAAAAAAAGTAACAAAATAGCAATAAAGTAATATGTATGTTAAAAGAAAACTGGAATGGCTATTGCCAAAAGACAAAGAAATTAGAGATTCTTAAATCTAGACTAGAAGTAAGAAAAGAGTTGATAAGAGTGAAGAAGACTTTACTCTTGCCTCTATATATACTATCTAACTAAGAGCTACATGGCAATGTTCTATAGGACCTCTAATATGTATTGACTTTACAGGATACATGCCTTAGCTTATAAGGCAAGTTTTTTACGAGTAGGCCACATAGTTAGCTTTTGCTTCAAGCTACCAACATGTGTGGCACTTGGCCAACTTGTTGACCACGTTTTTAACTTAAAAAGTTGATTATAGACACCTATAAAGTCAAAGTGGCATCTATAAAGCTTCTATAGAAGATATTATAGAATTAACTTATTTTTACCTATTTTTATCTAATGATATAGATAATTATTGGTTTACATGTATATGTTTGTGATATTAACCTCCTTTTGAGAGACAAATTCCATGAAGAGCGATCATCATATATTGAAGAAATCCAAGATGTGACAAATTATATTTGTCACATACTTTGATCTTTGTCTTCTTCAAAGATTATTGATAGAGCTTCTCAACCATTGACAATATTTCATACTAGGGAAGAAAGACCACTCAATTATTTGATTGTTGTTGAGGCCTTCTTAACTCTTTCAAATAAAATATTTAAAATACCATCAAAAATTGTTCCTACCTCTAAAAAAATTAACAAATATTCGAAATTCCTTCCAAGGTCGTGATATCAAATGCTTTGTATCTTGCCATCTATTCCAAGAAGAACATATTGTTCTTGAAGATCTTCATCTCGATTGCATCATCTTGAAGGTTGTGACAATTACAATGTCTCCTCTAACAAGTCAAAAAACAAAGGTTTTTGAGTCAAATCCATTAGTTGTTGATTCTTTATTTTTTTAATGTCACAAATATATAAAAAATACAAATAAAGATAAAAGATAGAATGTAATATTTCCTAGACCTTGTTTCTTTTATAGAAAAGACTTATTATTTTTTATCTTGGTTTTGATGGATGTCATCCATAAAAAGCCTCCATTTCTTTTACTATATTTATAAGTTTATTTAATGGATGCTATGTGCATTTACAAATATCATATCTCCGCGAATGAATAAGATATTTTAATTTATTTTGGCGTTGCCTTGAATTTAGAAGTTCTTCCACTTCAAATTCTTTATTATTCATCACTCTTATAGGAGGATGTAGACCTTATCTTCTTCTTGGTATGTTCATATTTTCATATGATTCAAGAAGAGACACGTTGAAGATAAGATGGATCTTCATTGACTCCAATAGAAATAATCAATAAGCAACTAGATTGATTTGTCCACAAATATGAAAAGGTCTAAGCTTGTGATAGTCCAACTTATCACAAGGATGAGTAGTCTTAATATTATGACAAAGTAATCATATATTGTCACCTACATTAAATTGTGGTTGTTTCTTTCAATAAGCATCCGTGTTGATCTTTTGTCGTTCTTGAACTTCCTTTAATTGCACCTTCATTGTTCTATGTAGCTTTAACAAATGATTTGCCAAACCTTTTGCCACATGATTATCAACTTTTGAAAAGTCAAAAGTATCAAATTGTGGATGGTAATAATAATTAATAAAGAAAGATATTTGTTGCGTAGTAGAATGCATCGTACTATTACAAAGCAAACTGTGCCAATGGCAAGATGGTTCTCTAATTGTCTTGTTGATAATTGATGGTAC